CATTATAAACCCCAATTAGGAAACAAAATATACTATCAGCTTTAGCTACACAAGATCACTCTAACCAGCTACAATTAGGAGTTACAAATAGAAGGGCATAATGGTATTTTCTAACTTTTTGTTACAAATACCACATAACAAATAACTCATAAATTTTAGACATCCAAACAAGATAATTGATTGTTTAATTTTCTCAAATACCATACAAATACCATACAACCTAAAAATGAGTTCTTTCAACCTACAAATACCTCATAACCAAAAAACTCATCCAAACGACCCCCAAGTAAACTTCATGTGAGCACAGCACAGCACAGCACAGCACAGCACACATAAGAAAACAAACACAAGTGTTATGTATCGGAGGGCACGGCATCCCTTTTCCATTTCGTTATGCAATTATCATCAATAATATGTCGTTTTATTGGCTGATGGTGGTGTCTATCATTTTTCATATTGAAACCACTATACATGTTCACTATTAATTTGCTCTTCTCGTTCTCGAAAGCTTTTCTTGGCTGTTTTCCCTTTGTCACACTACCACTAACTAGGGCCCATCTCAGCTACTTCCCCATTTTGCCCCATTGTGTAGACATGTACAATTTTTCTGCTCAAATGTTTGATGGGAATCTAACAAAAATTAGGCTATGGTTAAATAACACACTCTAGACTGAATTGGAAATGATTGCCGTTCAAATTTTAGGCAATCGAGAATTTGATCGACCACTATTATTGGTGATTTTTGAGAGTTTGAGTTACAATGTTGTACATCAATTCATTAGTTAGGTTGAGTAACAATGTTGTCAAAACTCACGAACAAGGATTTGGCCCAGTGGTAATACCACTAGCATAGAATTTGTAGGTTTCAGGTTCGAATTCCTTAAGTAGCAACTTAATGGCAACAAAATGAAACATATATCACCCTTATAAAAAAACAATGTTGTCAAAACTCTTGATATAACTATACATCCTTTGGTGACACTCAAGTCAATGATATAACTTGATTCTTCCTTTTTTATTATGTTACATGAACACATATTTAGTAAAATACGGTACGGAAAAATTATGTAAAAATATGTACGGGTATTTTACGTCGTTTCTAGACTCATGTTACGTTTAATAGTACGTTAATAATCATAAATATATAAAATAAATTATTTTAAAAATAAATAAATAATAGTAAAATTCATAATTTAATTTATTAAATATAGATATTAAACGTGTTATACAGGTTTTATACACGTTTAATACGGGAGCCATCAAATGAACATAAAAAAATGAAACAGATTGACAATAATATAGATACGAAAATTTTAAACGGATAAAATACGTACGAGTATATATATGTGTATTAAACTGAGTATTTACTGACGAAAGATATAACAAAACGAGAGAGTATTGTTGTTAAATGTGTCTCGATCAAACCAATAGTATCCGATTGAATTGCATATAATAAAACCTAATCTGTATAGAACTACAATATTTGAATCACTTGTTATTTGGAACAATAGCCACACAATCATTTCTAATGCTACTAAGGATTGATGACCGTATTGCTATCTCCTTCTATGTATACTTTTCTTTTTTCCTAATATTGCTAGAGCCTAGAAGTGTACATTTCTTCTAGAGACTTTGCTACGGTAGCATGCATGTCACGGTGACATGCACTTTTCGGTCGATCTCATATAGGATTAGGTCGATCTAATTTGTTGTTTCAGTGTAAAAACAGTTTTATGGTGCCTGCTTTGGAGATTCATATCTTACAATTGGCTAGATGGAAATTGGAGATCAATGGCTTGTTTTGAAGCTGAAGTGTCCCTCTACACATTAAAGTACTTAGGAGCTCAATAAGACGTCCAGAACACCATTTTTGAACCTGATCAAAAGGCTATGCCAAAACTTGGAAACTACTTGAAAATGGCCAAGTCTGGGAACGTGTTTGTGAAGCCTATTTTGGAACTAAATTTACAGTTTAGCTTGCTTGTGATCGAAGTCTGCCAGAAAAACAGTCTTCATAGCAACTTCGACCCTTTTATTTGAAACTTTACAGATATCCAATCTTTCATCCAATGACTTGACTTTGTATAAAACATACCTAATTTAACGTGGTAGAGGCCCCTGGACTCGACTCACATCCATGCTTCTCGAATTGAGCTCGAAAGTAGGCTTCACAAACACGTTCCCAGACTTGGCCATTTTCAGCCAGTTTCCCAGTTTTGGCATAGCCTTTTGATCAAGTTCAAAAATGATCTTCTGGACTTCCTATCGAGCTCCCAAGCACTTCAATGTGTGGAGGGACACTCCAGCTTCAAAACAAGCCATTAATCTCCAATTTCCATCGAGCCAATTGTAAGATATGAATCTCCAAAGTAGGCACCATGAAACTCTTTTTACACTGAAACAACAGATTAGGTCGACCTAATCCTAAACGAGGTCGACCTAATCCTACATGAGGTCGACCTAATCCTAACTGAGGTCGACCGAAAAGTTCAAGTCACCGTGACATGCATGTCACCGTAGGCGCACCCTTCTTCTTGGTATTATGGTTGGGGTGAAAATCCGTATGGTATCCAATACCAAATATCAAAATTTTGAATATCAAAATAGTCTCAATTCCAAAAATAATTTTGATTTCCCAATCACAATCCATAATATTTTGTTGAGCATCGATAAATACTATAGATACTAAATTAATTTTCTTCAAAACTACAAATCAATCATATACATGCAAATACTTCTCCTCGCTTCACTAACCACTATCAAATTATATAAAAATAAATAATACCGCCAACATTCGTGCAAAACAATTGATAATTTTAAATGTAATAACAACAAACTAAAAAAACTAAAACAACACATTGAAACAGGAGATCCCAAAGCAACTCATAAACATACGACAAGTAATAAAATAAGCTTCGTATGGGTTGCCAAATAATAAGCAAATGTGATATGCATAATTAAGTGATCATCTGGACGCTTGAGAATGGAATAGATTCGCGGACTGACTCTCAAAGCACGGTTTCGTCTATCTCTAAGGGATGCATGAATTGGTTGACCGGCCAGTTCCGCTTGTGAACATCCTCCAAGACGACGACTGGGGCGTGGTTTTCCCTCGGAACATCGTGATCCTCCCCCATCCTCCCATGTAACCCCTTTTCTTCTTGGCGCCTGTGCCTCCTTTGAATAAAATTAAAAAAAAATCTGGACGCTTGAGAGTCGGGTAGTAATGAATGAGTGAGCCTAGTTGAGAGGGATAAAATACCCACTAACTTATATTTCGATATTGATCGATATTTTAGTATAATACCGATCGCAATATCGTAATCATTTATAACAAAGAGCATATAAAATTCAATCCATATCTCATAAAATAATACATGTATTCGGTGATACCAAATATCAATAAATTTGACACAGTATTCGATAATACCAAATACCACTACCAAACTTCCAAGTCTCTCAAGCCTAGGGATGACAACAAAACTCAAACCCACGGGTACCCACCCGACCAAACCCGGTCAACGTGGGTAAAATCCGTGTTGACGGATTTTGGATCGGGTTTGGGTTTAAACCCGTTCACTATTCACCGGGTTGGGTTGAGTTTGGGTTTAGGTAAACCCGACCCATGGGTACCCGCTCACACCCATATAGTTAATTTTCTCGGTATATATAATATTTTAAACAACTAATCTTATTTATGTTTGTGGAGACATGTCTAATTTTTTCTTTCTAATTGTGTAAAATGAAGTTGATGTGGAGAGTGAAGAAACTTAATTGAAATGAAGAAGCTTTCAATTAATCCATGTTATTTATGGATAATTTGTGATTTGCTTCAATTTTATTGAGTTTTCTAGATTGGTGTTGAACCATTTGTATAGTTAATTTGTGATTTGCTTGAATTTTCTAGAATGGTGTTTTATATATAGATAATTTGTATTAAGAGATTGATATTTGACTTTAATTTTGATAGAAACTTGTTATGTAATTTTTTTACGACAAAAACCCGTGGGTACCCATGAACCCACGAATACCTAGCGGGTTAGGTTTAAGTTTTTTAAACCCAATGGGTTTTACCCCTTTTTTTTCACGGATAAACCCATGGGTTAGTAAGCATTTTCCACCGAGAATTGCTAGTACTAGAATAACGTATTTCGAATCTGGTTCTCGATTCTCATCCCATCCCTTGGCTAGTTAGCTACTTCCCTGGCAAATTTAAAAAAAAAATCTAGAAGGAACAAACAGAAATGTGGCCTGTGGGAACTGGGAAGTGTGACCAAGTCCGAATGCTTAACATAGTGTGCAGAAGCAAAACTGCAGAGGACTTATTTGTATCAGTGTAAATTTAACCTTCGTAACCACCACATTGTTAGGGCTTAGATGGTAAACAATGTTAATTAAACAAAAAAGCTGATACATTAGCAGTAAATGCAGAATTTTGGTTACAAATGTCTCGAAAGGAAAAGGCTTTTTAATAATTAACAGCAGAGGGTCCGCTTTAAATGAGAATGGGGAGAAGCCGAGAAGGGAAAGGCAGAGTGAGAGAGAAATTGACAAGAAGAAAGGTGAGTTTTTTTAGACAGAGAAAGTGCGCTTTTATTTAAAGAGAGAGAGGAAGGAAGTGGACAAGAGTTTTCTCTCTTTTATTTTTAGGGGAAAGCAGCCATCCCATCACCAAGCAGTCCTTACTTGTTCTAAGGCAGAGTGAGAGAGAAAGCAGAGTGTGCGTAGGATAAGCAGAAGAAGGGTGAGGGAAGAAAGAAGTGAGCTGTGACTGTGAGGCGCTCCACAAATCTCTCACCTCCTCTCTCTCCTTCTCTTCATTTTTGTTGTCATCTCAAATCTGTTGCACATGCTTAAGTTTGTTAGTAGTGTGGTCATGCCTGCTTCAGCTTAAAAGTTGCAGCTGCTCCTCTGTCTCCAAGGGTGCGCAGGATAAGGAAGTAGGGAGGAGGGAAAAAGCTCGCACTCACCAAACCGAGCTACTTCTTCCTTGTGAAATCATGGGTTTTAGCAAAAGATTGGTTCTTTCGATTTTGAGCATACTGGGTTTGCTCTCTCTTGCCTCCGGGGCTCGCCTCTACTCTTCCTCTGCTTCAAAGCAGAAGCTGGACGTCCAGAAGCACTTGAATCGGTTGAACAAGCCATCTACCAAGTCCATTCAGGTCCCTTCTTTTTACCCCTCTTCTCTTCCTGATACTAATGCTCTGCTTGTTTGGCTTCTGGAAAAGTGTGGGGAGATGTGCTTGCTTCTTATTTCCTTGGCATTACTGATTTGATTTTTCCTGCCGTTTCCTGTATTGTCCCAGTGACGAATGGAATTGGCTGTCTTCAAGTGTTTTTTTTTTCCTTTTCTTCCTGGGTTCTCCCTTTCTTTCTTTTGGTTTTCTTTCTAGTGAGCATCAGATGCCAACTTTTCCTTCCTGGAAATTCTCGGTTCTTTTTTCATTTTGTGAGTCAACAATGATGTTCCGATTATTAGACTCCTCTTTACTCTCCTTCTTTCTCTCTCACTATAATGATTTCCTTTTCGGGGGATTTATTGAGCAATAAATAACACAAGAAACTGCATATATGATGTGGAATCCTCAGTGCAGATCTTTACTATGTTCCCTCTTCTTTCCCCCCTCTATGCATTAACCAAACAATCCTTTTAAAGGACTAATAGAAGGCGTCTGATGTCTGAATATTTTCTTTGATTTGGTAATGTAGCATTGTGAAGGTTCATGTTAAGCTCATTTGTGTTTGTTTCTTTCGATTACGGCAGAGCCCGGATGGAGATATCATTGACTGTGTTCCCATGTCCAGTCAGCCAGCTTTCGACCATCCTTACCTCAAAGACCACAAAATTCAGGTCTGTAATAGCTCTTCTTGCAGTTCCATTAAAGCTTTGTGCTTTTGATTTTCTCTTCCTTTGTATGACGTGGGAGGGTTTGTGCAGATGAGGCCTAGCTTCCACCCAGAAGGACTGTTTGATGACAACAAAGTGGCTGCTGCAGCAGAATCTAAAGTGAGAGCAAATCCAATCAAGCAGTTGTGGCATGCCAACGGTAAATGCCCTGAAGGCACCATTCCAATCAGAAGGACAAAGCAGGAAGATGTTGTGAGAGCGAGCTCTGTGAAAAGATATGGTAAGAAGAAGCATAGAAGCATCCCAAAGCCTAAGTCAGCCGAACCTGATCTCATTAACCAGAGTGGCCACCAAGTAAAGTCTCTGCATTTTTCCTCAGTGGAAGGATTCTTACTTGGAGTCTAATACTCTTCCTAATTGTTGTTTGCTCTTCCTTGTTTTCGTTAGCATGCGATAGCATATGTTCAAGGAGATAGGTATTATGGAGCCAAGGCCACCATTAACGTTTGGGAACCAAAGATACAACAACCCAATGAGTTCAGCCTGTCTCAGTTATGGATATTGGGAGGATCCTTTGGTGAGGATCTCAACAGTATTGAAGCTGGTTGGCAGGTATATTATATAAGCATATTTTTAATAATCAATCCTGTCCTTCCTTTCATATGATCAACACAAAATTATTGAACCCATGACAATGAATTAACAAAGACGGTTGATTCCTTGTCATCTTCTGTGGATATATTATAATCCCATCATCTCATGTTTTTGAATGATAAAACAGGTCAGTCCAGATCTTTATGGTGACAACAACACAAGGCTCTTCACCTACTGGACAGTAAGCTTCAAGAACTCATTTCTTTCTAATGAAACTGAGACTTCTCGTTGACTCTGGTAGAAATCTAAGTTATGTTCCTATACAGAGCGATGCATATCAAGCAACTGGGTGCTACAATCTGCTATGCTCGGGCTTTATCCAGATCAACAGTGAGATAGCAATGGGTGCAAGCATCTCTCCTGTTTCTGGCTTCCGCAATTCCCAATATGACATCAGTATCCTTATCTGGAAGGTAAAACTAAAAATCACAAGCCTATGTGTGTTCTTGTCCTCTCATTCACATGCAGTTTCCATCACGAAAAAGCTTGCATCTTCTGTTGATCTTTTTGGTAAAGATATCTAGTGGAGACGCAGCCAAAGGATAGGACAATGAGTGTGGTCACTTGTGTGGCTCATATCTGACCAGAAGTATGCATGTGAACATGGTAAAGATTTGTGTTTTGGAGCTTGGCAATGCAAGTTTCAAAATGCAGACTTTGGCCATATTGCTAGAGTTTGGAACCAGTCAAAAAAGGTGTTTGCTTTCACATAATAATAATAATAATAATAATAATAATAATAATAATAATAATAATAATAATAGGAGGTGGGGAGAGATGGGTTGTCAGATAGCATCATTGGTGTGGTGCAGGTTTATGCTGGGAGAATCTCTGGCATTCTCTCATGGGCCTGTTCCCCCTCCCTTTCTTTTCTTCTTCTTGTTATGTGGCCCATGGCGATGGGCCTTGGATACTCATGGGTGAGGGCTGGGGCTGGGGCTGGGGTTGGGGTTGGGGTTGGGCATGGTCTGATCCGGTTCAGAACCAGTTGGAGTTTATGTTTGGACCGTATTTGATTTATAGGTCGACTCGGTTTTAAGTCACAGGGCAGTTTGTTCCCATTTTAATGGATCCCAAAAGCAAAGGAACAAACAAATCAAGCCGAAACCGGTTCTAAGCAAAAATCGATTTCTTATCCTTCCTTCATTACCTGATATAGCTAATGCCATCTAAAAAAGCTGAAGCTGGACCATCCATCTGGTGATTTGTCTCAAGGGTTGTTAGGATTGAACATTCTTGTGTGTTGTGTGCGTGCAGGATCCAAAGGAAGGGCACTGGTGGATGCAGTTTGGAAACGACTATGTGTTAGGGTACTGGCCATCATTTCTGTTCTCATACTTAGCAGACAGTGCCTCCATGATTGAGTGGGGAGGTGAGGTGGTGAACACAGAACCAGATGGGCAGCACACCTCGACGCAGATGGGGAGTGGGCATTTCCCGGAGGAAGGGTTTGGTAAGTCGAGCTACTTCAGGAACATTCAAGTTGTGGACGAGTCCAACAATCTCAAGGCTCCCAAAGGACTTGGCACCTTCACCGAGCAGTCCAACTGCTATGATGTTCAAACTGGCAGCAATGGCGACTGGGGTCATTACTTTTACTATGGAGGCCCTGGTAAGAACGCCAACTGCCAGTGACAAGAGGAGAATGTAGGGAAATCATGTTCATTTTACCTCTCCTCTTCTCATCATATAGTTGTATGTGTTCTGTTGCGTACGTCCCTATGTATAATTCGCCATCATCCCCCCTTTGTTAGTGTAATGGTCGTCTCTTAATTTGCTCTTGTCTCTTTCTGGTATACCCTCTGCTCTCTTTTAGTTTTTTACTGTTAGGTTGGCTGTAGTGGACATGTGAGGCCGGCCGGTCGACTCTGAGTCTGAGTAGTAGTGGGAAGTTTTGACGCTTTGTTTTCTTTTGTGATTTTTAGTCTTGGAAAAAGATTCTCCAGACAAAGCAAGTGGGGTTGGAGAACTTTGTGGGCAGTACTGTTTCTGAAAGCTGAGAAAGAAACAGGATGCCTTTTGTTTTCTTTCTTTGTGTATTCTATTGGTTTGTTCAGTTGCTACTACTCCCTTCTTTGGAGGGGCTCGTCTAAATGGAATGAAAGCTCCTCTCTTTCTCTCTCTCTCTCTCTCTCTCTCTCTCTCTCTCTCTTTGTTGGCTGCTGCTACTTCTGTGGATGGATACTGTCACGGCCTTGCCGCATTATGGATTTATGGTTATGAATGATGATGATGATGGCTGGCTGTGGCTGGTAAAGGGAGAACTTTTCAACCACATCTGTCTGTCGATCGAATTATTATTATGGGCTCATGGCTATAGCTAGCAACTTGTGTGTGTGTTTGGGTGCACGCACAGCACAGTTTGCAATTGTGAGAGGGCAGGGTGGTAGGGTTTCTTTCTTTCTCTCATCATCCTGGATTCCTGGTGTACGTTGACATGGAAAGAAAGATTCATTCTATTCATTGTGAGGTAATCATCAATCTTCCAAATTATTGTAATTGATGTCTATCAGATCATCCCAAATTAAGCAAATGTATAGCACTTATAATGAATTGAGTGGTAAATAAGTGGGGTTAATTGCAAGTTCGGTCACTGTGTTTATTAAAAGCTTTCATGTTTAGTCACTAAAAATATTTAATTACATTCGTGATCACTAAGATTAGTTAAGTGTTTCAAATTTGGTCACTCTCCGTCCAATTCCGTTAGTTTTGTCTGATGTGGCAGTCAACTCTCAAAGTTGAGCGTTAACTAAATGACGTGATAATTAAAAAATAATAAATAAAATTTAATTTAATCTTTGACAATTTCCAACTCATTTTCACTATAAAATAAAATAATTAAGAATGAAAAAAAATTATTATAATTTTCAAATTGAAATTCACCCGCATCCGCTTCAGCGCGTTGCCTCCACTCCCACTTTCATCTCGCCGATTGATTTCTGGGTTTCCGAAGCCTCCTCCTTCGCCAAATTGCCAAATTGAGAAGACCACTCCGTCGCAACCAACTTACCCACATATGGAACGATGGAGAAGGGAGGGGTCCGCTTCAAAAAAAAAGAGTAAACTAAATGGAAGATGACGAAGCACATGAGCAGGCGGACAGGGAGCGCATCTTCAAGCGCTTCGACCCAAATGGGGACGGGAAGAGATCGACGACGGAGCTAGGGGATTGCCTGAAGACGTTGGGGTCGGTGACGTCGTACGAGGTGAAGCGGATGATGGACGAGATCGACACCGATAGAGACGGCTACATTTCGTACCATGAGTTTGAGCTCCCAAGGCAGAGAGAGCCAACAAAATTGAGTGGAGTGGGTTTCTTGGAGCGAACCCCTTTCTTCTCCATCGTTTGATCTGTGGGAAAGTTGGTTGCGATGAAGTGAGCTTCTCGATTTGATGATTTTGCGAAGGAGGATTCGGTAAACTCAAAAATCAATCGGCAAGATGAAAGTGGGAGCAGAGGCGACACGCTGAAGCGGAGGAGGGCGAACTTTAATTTGGAAATTATAATATTTTTTATGTTTTAATTATTTCACTTTATTGTGAAAATGAGTTGGAAATTGTAAAAAAAAATATTTATTTTTTTAATTATCACGTCACTCAGTTAACGGTTAATTTTGAGAGTTGACTGCCACATCAAACAAAACTAACGGAGTTGGATGAAGAGTGACCAAATTTGACACACTTAACTAATTTTAGTGACCACGAATGAAATTAAATATTTTTAGTGACTAAACATGAACGTTTTTAGTAAACACAGTGACCAACCTTGCAATGAAACTAAATAAGTGACATGGGTTTAATCACGGCAAGCAACATATTTATATTATTGTTCTCAATTTGCTACTTTTATTTTTTCAAATAACAATTCAATTCTTTAGCTGTTTTGTAAGTCTTGCAGTTTTAGGCTAGATCAGTGAAAATTTTCAACTTCTAACACTCAAAACTATTAACTAATTATAATTTATTTTTTTCCAATTTTAATGGAATCAATGACTTAATTTGCAAGTTGCGATTGTTTTGTTGAGATGGTTTCTATACATGTATCTTTTAGAATACATAATTATTTTTTAATTTTTTAACAGAAATAATACACGAATTAATGCGAGAGTAACTATCACTCAAAATAAATTATTGTTATATCTCAACTTTTAGGGGTCGTTTGCTTCGTGAATTTGAAAAATGAAGGTTTTTGTATAACTTTGGTTTTTAATAAACCATGGATATATGAGGATTTTGGGTTTATTATGGATTTGAAAAAAAATGATTGTTTCATGGATTTCATTATGGATTTTGTTAATTAAATTTGTACGTATGAAGTGAGCTTTACCATTATTGCCCTCAATGATATAAGAAAAGAAAGATTATGAGGGGTAGGTCAGTAAAAAATTATGGACTTCAAAGTCCATGATGAATTCCCACCTAAAGCGGTGGGAATTTCAAGTTCGTGGGGCCCACGGATTTGGACCCTCATAGTCCATGGGTTCTACGGATTTGATACTTTTAAATAATTGAAGCAAACAATGGATTTTGGACAAAGTCCGTCACCAAATCCATCAAGCAAACAAGATTAGTTGTGATTGTTGAGATAGTTGAATTTAGATTGTTTTGTCTCAGCTTTTAGTTGATGTGGCATACACAATCACATATCAAATATTGTATTCCACAATGTATCAAATTCGACAATACATGTATAATATAATACATGCATTCATAACGATACATATAGTTAACAACGCAACTTCCAAATGAACGAGAAAAAAATTGAAACAAAAAAAAAAATTGAAAACAAGAATTAAAAATCACTCTAGCTAACATATAATTTGATGGTTATATACACTTGTATATCCAAAACTTTCATGGTTATGCCAATAATATCCAAATTTGACGAAATACCACTTATAGCCACTTCCATCAAATTCTTTAACGGTGTCAGCTAATACGCTGACTGGACAAACGAAAATGATGAGTTGGCGAGTTTCTCCGGCAACAATTCCACGCTGGGTTAAGTTAAAAAAATAAAATAAAATAAGGAGATGAAAGGTCCCCACCAAACGCACAACACACTCCCTCCTTCCCTCTGTGATTACTCAGCTCCACCAACCGTCGTCGCCGCTTCTTCGCCTCGCCGAACCCAAAACTCCACCATTCCTTCGCCCATATTAGGGAGGCTTTGCGATTTCGAGTGCGATGCCTGCCTATCCTTGTTCTTAATACCCCAATTCTCCGACGCGATAAGCTCAATCCCTTTGAACTGCCTCTCCTTCTCCTTGCCCATGATCTCAAACAGCTCCGGATCTGCCTCGCAAATCGGCTAGTTTCCCCAAGCCTTCACCGAGCTCCGACGCTCCTGCAAATCCGATTCGCTCTCGCCATGACTGACCTCTTGGCTGGAACGCACTAAATTTCGGAATTGGGGTGACGCCTCTTGAAGCACATCGAGTGGCCCAAAATTCGAAACTCCCTCCCGTCCTCCTCGTCCCCTGGTCGCGATTCAGCTCTACGACGGCACCACCGCTCTGGTTGTGCAGGAGTCCGCCGAGGTGGCAATTCTCGTTTATCGACTCCAGTAGCCGCAGTGGGAGGTGGTGGACGGAGGCGGCTGAAGAGGCGGAAGAGGGGAAGAACCCTAATTTCAAAATTGGGGAAAAGTTGGGGATTTAGATCGTGCGAGATGGGGGATATTAGGGTAATTTTTTAATAATTATGATGTGTAAATAATTAATAATTTAAATATCTAATGTGTCATTATTTGCCTATTTGGCGTTGACGTGTCTGTTGAGTTGGCGCCTAGTCAGCGAACCGTCAAATAACTTGACGGTGTTATTAACACCGTTAAAGTTTCTAACGGAAATTGATAGATTTGGCAAAGAACAACTTTAAAACATGGCTATAAGTGGTATTTCGAGAAATTTGGATATTATTGGCACATCCGTGAAAGTTTTGGATATACAAGTGTATTAAACCTAATTTAATTGATACAATGTCAATTTGAATTTGCATGCAGCACAAAAATAAAATAAATAGGGTTAGCAATAAATTGCATTAAACCACAATTCAATTCAACAACACCACTCCAGTCCTCTCAACTGCACCAGTCCTTAATGCTTCCGTTCCAGCCCAAGATTCTGCATGCAGTGAGTACGTACCTATGTCTCTCCAATTCAATTCAAACAGATCCATTCCATGTATATTATTCATTTCATATCAAATTACTCCACAAAATTAACCTTTCGTTTAAGATTGGCTCGTTGGCTGTTGCTGTACAATAACGCTGGGGGAGCCCAAAAGCTAAAATGGGCGGGTTCTTGCTCTTGGGCTTTCTACTCCAACAGAAAAGCAACGCTAACAAGTTAAAACAAGCACAAGCTTTTAGTTTTTTTTATAGCTCTTTTGCTTGTAGTTCCAACTTTGAACCTTCTCTACCATCTGGATTCTATTTCGATAACTATTTAAAAGATGGAATGTGCTTGGGTAAAAAAAGTTGAAATTCACACCTACCCACTTATTTTAATTTTTCTCGAATATTATTACTAGCAGAGTCTGATTGAATTGTATAATTGAGTTGGATTTCGATTTGTTTTCTCGAATATTACTAGCGGGGTCGGATTGTGTTGTATTTTCTAGGTGTGAATTATATTGTACTACCACAACATGCGAGAAGAGAATTTACCATGATATATTGGAGGGGGGTTACCGTTTTTATTTATATTTAACAACTAGAACACTGCATGCGCTATGCTGCAGATGCTGGGAGACGATGGTGACATTAGCATCAGTTGTTCAATTTTGCATTTACATAACTTATATGATTTTTTTCTCTTGATTAGGATTGTGAACCCGTGGTCGATTCGTGGGTTGATCCATTTTGACTCTAATTCAGTGCGAAAAATGGGTGCCACATACTCGTTGGTCGGCCCACAACAAAATCACCGGCTTGTAGGTCACACAACGTTGTTTTTATATTTGTGAAATATGCCTCTTTCTCTATATGTTAGATCCAAGTACGAATTGTTATTTTGGTGGAATATTATATACTTTTTTTATCATATATTAGATGAAATTTGATATAATTTATAAATATATAAACAATATAATGACTTTTCCATACATCCAAGGTAAACAAAACTAAAATGATTGGACCATTAACTCTCAACCTATTTACTCGGCCGCCTCAACAGGTTAACCGGATTGACAACCTTGCTCTTGACAATTTCTTATTTGAAGAAGTCAATGTTATTCATAGTTAAAAAAACAAAATAAAATGATAATTACACTATATCTGAAACATGGTGGCGTTGGGCTTTCCATGCCCAGTTAATAGTCGTGAGTAGTCAACCTAGCTCAAATCGAGAAGTGGTTAGTTACCATGAGTTTGCAGCTTGTCCTTTGATTCCAATCCTCTAATTCCGATAAAAAATTTGATATAATATGACGATGGAAACAAATAAGTAGTTGGATTTCAATATGAAATCTGAAAAAAGCTACGAAAGAAATGGATAGATAAGGCACTATGGGCTATTGTTGATGATATTCACCCATTTTAATATTACTAATAACGAAAATTGGTTAGGGATGGAAGGAATACCAAATCAAAGCATGATATGAGCCCATGGCCGTTTAAGTCCTCTCAAATTAAATTCTTGGTGAACAGTAACTTTGATTGTGCTTTATATATATACTAGGTGGCGATGTCGTGCCTTGTCGCGGGTGGAGATGGTCTATGGGCATGTATTATGTGACCTGTTATGGTGTTTTGTTAGTATTATTAGCCTAAAATTATTTTTTTGTTAGTTGTTGATTTGACAATATGATATTGGCTGAGAAGAGATATATGATGGTCAACATTCAATTTAATTTTTTTATTTTGGCTAATAAATGATATTTACCCAAACCCAAGTAGACTCATTGATTATGGGTAGGATATGAGTGACGTATATATGAGTTGAAAGTTTGTAGATGGGTTTGGGTAGGGTATGGATATTTATTTTCATAATCTTAATGTGTATGAGTTGGGTATGGATACCCATTTATTCGAGAGTGTTTTAATTACACATACAAAAATTAGACCTATTTGTAGAACTTTAAAAGTTTAGGTACCAAAATGTCATACACAAAATATTTAGGCAATAAAATATAATGTTCCATCAATATTTTAAGGACTTATGTGCCAAAAAGATAAGTTTAGGTTATAAATCTAAAGATCTATTAAGTTTAGGTACCAAACTGTAATTTGTATAGTTGAGGCTTAATTCCTTTAAGGTGACGTATTTAAGATGATAATTATTTACCTTTTTATAAAAAATGGAAACTATTATTTTATATGTGTAGATACCTAGCCAAACATTCCATGTATATTTGTTGAAAATTCTAGCCCGGGTGAAAAAGAAAAACTTTAGAGAGAAGCAAAAGTAGTACAAATTGGAACTCGCTTAAAATTTCACGCCTTCAAATCCTACAATGGAAAATGATGACTTTCTAATAAGTAATAAAGAAAGAGTTAGTGTTAGATGAAGAAGGCAAAGAAAGAAATAAAGAAAGAGTTATGGAAGGCGAGTGAAAAATAAAGCGAAGAAGAAGTAGATGATGGAAAAGTTTTGGCCAATTCTTTTAGTTGGTCGTCAATACAACAGTCAACCATTTTCACCGTAGCAATTTATTGACGCTTGCTAATGTAGATGTCGCCTATTTGGTTATATGTAGTAAGTAGAAGTTTGTTTAGTAGCCCGTAAATGTACTAAATAAGCTTATAAAATCGCTCTTGCAATATTTTAGAGTCGTCTCTCTTTTATCATTTATTTAATGTTTCACGTAATGAGCAAATATAAAATGGTCGAATCTTCTCCTACAGTTGAGTGATTCAACATCTTGTATGATACAAACTAAATATATACTTTTTGTTATGGTGGATTGGATTCATGGATTGATTCAAAAGAATTGGTGGATTGGATTCATGGATTCAAGTGAAATCTAAACATTGAACCGATATGTAAATTTACAAAAATTTAGGTACGAAAATCTCATAAATTTAGATACCAAAACATAATTGTTCAATGGTTTTACATTTAAATTAAATTTGGGGTATCAAAATGTAAAATGTACATTATAGTGACTAAGTTATAATTTAATTAAATTTGGAGTATCAAAATGCAAAATGTACAACTGCCCAATCAGCTTGCAAGTTAGTGAACAATAAACTCACTTCTGCTTTATATATATTAATTAACTAGAATGGACCCGGGTGAAGGAGGTAAAAAAATAAACTGACTGAATTTTAATTCTCTGAAACTTTTTCGTAGCCATCCATGGCTATCGCCGATGAATCGACAATGTTGCGCACCAATAACCTGGAAGAGCCACAGGACACCTCGTCAGACGCTTCGCCGATCCAGCAGAGCAAGAAGCACAAACCTTTCCAAGAAGAGGGGTTTTCCGGCCAGGGGGCGATGATCCTAGGAGAGACATCTAATGTTTTGTTTCAAGAGGATGCCGCGAGGGAGTCACCTGGCCCAACAGCGATGAAGCTAACGTATAGTGACTTGGTCTCGGGACGGCGCCCTGCTCCAACGAAATACAATGAAAATGAGTTTATGTTTGACGAATCGGACGAGGAGGACGAAGAAGACGACCCAGATTGCCCGACGATCAGGGTTCATAAGGCAACAGTCAAACGAATCCAAGATCGTTGAGGTCAAGCTTTGATTTGCAAAATCCTTAGAAAACAATATTCGTTCTCAGTTCTTGAGAAGAAAATCCAACACCTATGGGCGAAGGTTGGAAACGTAGGGGTAGCTGATTTCGGCAATGGGTTCTTTACAGTCCGGTTCACATCTCAACAGAATTATGATAGGGCGATGTTTGGAGGCCCATGGCTCCTCGGCGACCACTACTACATTCTTACCACGGAGTGGAGGATGGATTTCGATCCGGACTATGATGTAATTGATCGTGCTAAGGTCGGGTCCGCCTACTGCACCTTCCGATGGGGTAATTTCGATCAAGAAATCCTCAATGACATCTGCACCCGGATAGGTAAGGTTGTCAAAATTGACTACAATACGTTGCACTGTACATGAGGAAACTATGATCGCCTATGTGTGGAAATCGACCTCAACAAGCGGCTCGTTTCCAAATACCGGCTGAAGAGGAGGGTTCGACGAATCGAGTATAAAGGACTACATTTGATTTGCTTCGGTTGCGATTGCTATGGTCACACTCAGGAAACATGTGCAAAGTCTGCCGAAGAGGGTATGCCACCGGAGGAATTCTCATCACAATCCAACCCCATGTTCAATCCCAAAGGTGGACCGGAGGTCTTGGAGGACTACGGTCCCTGGATGATTGTCACAAGGAATAGACGGCAACGGCAGGCACGGAAGCCAAAGCTTCAAAATCCGGGCGAGTTTCCTTCAGCATCTTCGGCGACCTCACCGGCGGCATCCCAACAGTCACTTGGATCAAGATTCGAAGCTCTGGGAACGGAAGAGGCGGAAATTACGGTGGAGGATCAATCCAGGGATACCGAAGATCACGCAACTCTAGAAACTCAACTAAGGAAAGAAACCCCCAAGATTGATACAGAGAGCAATGAATCTGGAAAGTCCACAACCATGGAAAGATCTACTGGGAAAGGAAAGAAAAATCAGAAAGTTAATAAGGAAGGAGGAAAAAAGGAAAAAGCCGAACCCAAGAAAAACAGAACGTCAAAGCCCGCGGAGGGGAACAACGGTATGAAGGCCCAAGACCTGTCTAAAACCCAACTGAAAGACCAGAATGGGCCAGCTTCCAAGGCCCAAGCGTGCAACACGGATAAGACAAGTCTTGGACCCGCATCCGCCCCCAAGTCTAGTGGGGCACAAATCCTTTTGATAGCCACGAGAGGATCCACCAACTCGACTAGTCAAGAAAAGTCCCCAAAAGAGGATTTCGCGTCGAATAAGAAAGGGATAGCGGGGAAACCACTGGCTGGCAGTACTCCCATAGAGAAGAAAGCCCCCGATCCACCAGGGGAGCGAATGATGACGGTCAGTGAGAGCACATCGATGGCAGGAACACTGGCTGCGACCCAGAACCAAGCGAAGAGAACTACGGAGCAACAAAATTGCAAAGGGCGGAGACCACTGTGGTGGGACCAACCGAGAAAGTGAATCAGATGGAGGTTGACGACAATTGCTAGCCGGATCCTCCTGACCCAGAGTTGTTTATGATAGTCCCACCTCCTTTTGAATCATCATCAATGTTAAAAAAATTATGTTGAAACTGCCAGGGTGCGAAACACCCAAAATTCCTTTCGGCTTTTAAAGACTATAGGCGTATCATATGCCTAATATGGTCGTCATTGTGGAGCCGCAATTAGCGGCAAGGACGCTCTGGAGGTCATCGGTTCGATGGGGTTTGATCGGTTTGAAAGGGTTTATGCTCGTGGGTTCGCTGGAGGAATATGGGTCCTGTGGAATGCAGTTGAGTTCAGCGTCACAATGCTGGATAGTAGCGCCCAGTATCTTCATTTGTGATGTACAGGCTCAAATCGAAGACTAGTGGGGATCACAGTGGCCTATGCAAAACCCAATGACTATGATCGAAGACCGCTTTGGACGTCTCTCTGTAGATTGGAGACGCAAACTAAGGACCCTTGGCTTCTCCTGGGGGATTTTAACTCCATATCTAGCCCGTCAGAGCGACAAGGAGGAGCGAAGTTCAACCCCAACCGGGTTTCTGACTTCGTTAATTGTATTGCTGATTGTGGCTTTGTTGATGTAGGTTATGTCGGCCCTAAGTTCACCTAGACTAATGGTCGTCTCTCTCAACGCCTGGATAGAGCTCTGTGTAATCAGGAATGGTTGAGACATTTTCCTGACACACGGAACAATCACCTCCAGAGGCTTCGCTCAGATCATCGCCCGATCCTGGCGTGTAGCTCTAACGATACAGCCACCCCTTTCCAGGTGAGACCGTTTCGTTTCCTAGCTCTTTGGTTAGCTCATAAATATTTTCATCGCGCACTTGACACCTTCTGGACTCGTGGAGCAGACTGTCTTAATTCTGTGCAGAAACTACAAGATCAACTCCGCACCTGGAATAAAGAAGTTTTCGGGAACATATTCACTAGGAAAAAAGTCCTCAATAAGAAGCTATTTGACCTCGAGCTTTTGAATGATCATTCACATTCTGAGGCCACCATCCATCAGGAAGTGGCAGACAAGAACGAGCTAGAGCAGACCTTATGGGAAGAGGAACTCCTCTGGATCCAGAAATCGAGAGCCAATTGGATAATTCATGGGGACCGGAACACCTCCTTTTTCCACAACGCCACAATCAACCAGAGACGACGAAATAAGGTATTGAAGTTGCATGATGATGACGAGAATTGTGTTGAAGATATAGAAGCCCTGAAGGAGATGGCAAGGGACTTTTACAAGAAACTTTACACATAGGAAGAAATATCCCAACTGATACTACCAGCTCGATTTAAGGAACCGGAAGGTGTCGCCACCAGCAGATTGGCGTCAATTCCCTCACTCGATGAGACCAAACGAATTCTCATCGAAATGTGTGTGTGTGTTGGGGGGGGGGGGGTTGAAAGCCCCTGGGAAGGATGGACTTCAAGCAATTTTCTACAAGCAGTGTTGGGAGACTATGGGATCTGATTTTTATGATCATGTGGTTGATTGTTTCAAGTCACCATAGAGAATCAAACTCTGCAACGAGACTCTCCTTACTCTTATTCCCAAGGTTGAGGTGCCCAAGACTATTGTGGATTTTCGCCCTATCATCCTCTGTAACGTTACCTATAAGGTAGTTGCTAAGAGTCTGGCGAACCGTCTGAAATGTCTCATGCCAGGTCTCGTGTCGCCCAACTAGACAAGCTTCGTTCCAAAGCGTCACATTACGGACAACATCATCATCCTCCAGGAGGTGATCCACTCCATGTCACTCAAATCCGGTGCCAAAGGTCTTATGGTCCTGAAAATCGATTTAGCAAAAGCCTACGATCGGGTGAACTGGTCCTTTCTGGAACAGACTCTTTCAGCAACTAGTCTACCGCAGGAATTCATCACATTAGTCATGGCTTGTATTACAACTCCTAACTTCCAGATGTTGTGGAATGGGGGACTTACGGAGAGTTTCCAGCCATCCAGAGGTCTAAGGCAGGGATGTCCTCTTTCCCCTTATCTGTTTACGCTGTATGGAACGTTTAAACCATTGTACCCAGGAAACCATTGAGACAAGGGATTGGAAACCTATCTCCCTAGGCTAGAGTGGTCCTCCTCTCTCTCGACTGTTTTTCGTGGATGATTTGGTTTTGTTTGCAAAGGCAAATCAGGATCAAGGGGAGACAATCGCCCAATGCCTTGACAGGTTCTGCTCAGCCTCTAGGGAGCAAGTGAATAAGAAGAAATCATGTGTCTTCTTCTCCATGAATACCAAGGAGTCGGCCAAAAAGAGAATCAGTGATATTCTGGGAATGAAAGTGACGAACAACTTGGGCCGTCATTTTGGTGTTCCTGTCATTCATGGTCGGGTCACTAAAGATACCTACAAGTACATCATTGAGAACATTGATAGGAAACTCCCGGGTTGGAAGACAAGGAACCTCTCTTTGGTGGGACAAGTCACTCTTGCTATGTCAGTTCTCAATGCTCTCACGAATTACACTATGCAGACTGCAGTGATCCCAACCTTCATTTGTGACTTGATCGACAAAGAAATTCGCTCATTTGTCTGGGGGTCGGAACAAGGGAAGTCAAAAACTCACTTTGTAACCTGGGAAATCATCTACAAAGCAAAGGAGGAAGGGGGTTTGGGTCTTCGATCTGCGAGGGCTTTGAATTTTGCTTACATGCTTAAGCTTGCTTGGTCCTTCTTAAATAATGGTGATGCTTTGTGGGTTAAAGTTTTACAGGGAAAATATTTCAAATCCACTGCTCATGGAGGCCTGATCAGGAAACAGAACAGACAATCGCGTCTTTGGAAGGGTATGATGGATGCGTGGCCTCTCATGAAGCAAAGTCTGGTTTGGGACATCCGGAGTGGTCGTGATGTGAAATTCTGGACTAGTCCATGGCTGGCGGATGGGATCGTTCTAGCAAACCATGTTCATAGCGATGGAGATGGTATCAACTGGGAGGCGACTGTTGCGGAGCTTACCACAGACTCAGGTGAGTTGCGCTGGGCGGACATTGACTCCCATCTCCCTGATGAAATGCTATCTTTCATTGCAGGTACGGACGTCCCAGATGAAGACCTCGGTGAAGATATATCTACCTGGGGTTTGGAAGCGGACGACAGATTTAGCCTCAAGTCGGCGTACAAAGCACTTGTGGGGTGGTTACGGAATGAAGAGGAGGAGGATCAAACAAGAATGCCAAACAAGAAAGGAATCTGGAAATGGGATGGGCCAGATAGAATCAAGCATTTTCTTTGGCTTGCTTTCCATGACAGGCTCCTAACGAATGCAGAGAGGAAATAGAGCAAACTTACCAACGACGAGAGGAAATAAAGCACTTGTGTTGCTTGTGCAATGCATCACGAGAAACGGCGGAGCATGTCATTCGCCACTGCACTAGAGCACAACAGGTATGGAAATCCTTGGGCATTATGGATAATCACCTTACTATGGCGGTCTCCTTTGCAGAATGGTTGGAGGGGAAGCTCCGTGCGGAGAAGGACGACCTGCTCTTCGGTGTTGCAGCATGGTACCTTTGGAAACAGCAAAATGAATCAATCTTTCAGATCAAACCTTTCGATGCCAATGTTCTATCATAGCGCATTTGGAGGTGGACAATGACTATAATCCGAGCACAAGAAAGTGACTGCCTGACTAAAGAGGCTCCCAGGGGGAAACAAGCAAAGGATCTGGCTTGGCAACCATCGCCGCCAGGGTGGATAAGCCTCCAGAGTGATGGCTCGGTTCGGCAACCGGGAGCAAAGGCGGCAGCTGGTGGGCTTCTCCGCGACCAATTTGGAAGATGCTTGTGAGCTTTTACAGGCAACCTTGGTGCCTGCACCATTACTCGTGCTGAAATCAAAGGAGTCATCGAGGGTCTGAAGCTCGCTTGGTCTTTGGGTTACACGAGAGTGGTGGCAGGGCTGGACTCGATGGTAGCTCTCTGGATGCTTACAGCTACCCAGGAGGAAGACCATCGATACTTTAGGCTCATCCAACAGTTCATGAAACTACTTCATCGCAATTGGGAAGTGAACCTCTCCCACATCTATAGAGAATGCAATAAGGCGGCCGATTTCCTCGCTAATCGTGGTCATGAGTTCAGTTTAGGTGTTCATGATTTTGATATTTATGATTCGGGTCTTGCTTTCTGGGTTATGTATGATACTATGGGCATTGCCCAATCCCGTTTAATATAACGTGCCAGACAGGGGGTGCCCTTTAGCACCCCATTTTTCTTTAAAAAAAAAAGAATGGACCCTCGCGCTATGCTGCGGATCCTAAGAGACTGTGGAATTATTGGTTGTTTGCACAATAACAATAAATATGTTTGTTTCAATAACAATAATCATTATAATTTCTTGTTCTTTAGTTTTACCATTTCAGCCATACTATTTTAGAAAGGCATAGTTAGTAGTAAAATGTGTTTGATACATGAATTGTCGTACGTTGAGATGTATAACCTTTTTCGTTTGTTAGATACTTCACGTTAATGATGGCAATTTCGATTTGACCTGTTTTGGGCGGGGCGGGCATGGGTAGTGTCCTCAACCTGACCTGTCCTGACCCTCCCCATTTTTTACCCGTTTCTTGCTTAAATCACATGTAATTTTACTCAAATTACTTATTCTTTTACTTTTATTACGTAATATTTTAGTTGTATTAAAATTGTAAATAGGTGAAGCTCAATTTCACGAATAATTTAACAACATTAATCATGTTATAGTTTTTTTTTTGTAGGAGATGAATATTTTCAAAATATTGCGTTGAAATTACACTCATATAGGTCAACATGCGCCCCGTAATAATTACCCAAATTACCACGAAATGTGTATGGGTATCGAGATACCCATACCGACCTGCCATATTATTCCTACTTCACGTACATATTAAAAATATGTCCGCCCGTGCATTACTACGGGGTTGAGAGTAACAGTTTTTCCCAACTAATTAATTATGTTCTCAATCAATCAGTATAAAAGAAAGAAAAATAGGAAAAAAGAAACGAATGGGTGATAACTGTTTTCACCCAATTTGATCCATGAAGAAGCTGGGGAAATGAGATTTCATCATGTCATCCATGGAAAAATCGTGTGAAAGCTTAATAGCCTCCGCTTCCCACTTTGCCACTTGTCATTAAATAGTTGGTTAGTCATAGGAAATAAATAACAGTTGTGCAGAGTAATAAAATCTTAGACAACAGTAAACTATATTTAACTTTATATATATGGTGCCTTCTACGGTACCCCGGGTGAAATTCGGGGTACCGCATATTTTGAGTATGAAAATGCTATCTAGACCTCGAATTAGCAGGATTTTTGGGCATGATACTATACCCTAACTCTTAATGAGTGAATCCTAGGTCCTAATTATCTAAATCATAAACTATAAACCCTAAGATAGTGCATTGATTTTTTTTTTTGACAATGCATTGATTTTTTTGCCCATATTTGGACAAATCATAACCATCGATTATTGTTTCTAATTTAATTGATCTTGGGGTATAAGATTTAGAGAATTAAGACCTAGATGTTGATCTTTAAGGGTTAGTGTATAGTATCATGTCCAAAAGATTAGTCAATTCAAGTTCTGGATAGCGTTTTCTTACTCAACGTATGCGGTATCCCGGATTTCACCATAGGTTCCGTAGAACTCCCCACACATATATATATTAATAAATTAAAGTTTGAGATCTTGAGATTGGACCATTGGTGGTGAAATAGTATAGCAAGACACTCATTAAGCTATTTCTGAAAAAATGAGGATTGCAAATAGAAAATTAAGAAACGTCTGTAAAGATATAGAGATGTTAGAAGACCAGTTGGATGTTTGTAGTTTAACTATTTTCTTGTGGATGATCCAATATCATTGCTCACCACTTTGTCCATCTTCTTCATCTTGATCGTAATGAAATTATCTAGTCTTTGTATTTCTCTGGTCGTTAAAGTAGGATTGGCAATGAGTGGGTCCAGTGAGTTTTTGGTCAAAATTCATCCATCCATTGTTATGATTGGTGATAAAAAATGATCAACACTCACTCATTTGTATTGTTATAAGTGTGTTGGGTGGGTGACAACGGATGATGGGTGGGTTTGCGGTTTTTTGTGGGTCAAATTATTTTTAAATAATTAGATAATCAAAAGCCATAAAAGTTTGCATAAAACTAGTTAAATATCAACACTACAAATAAAAAAAATTGATAGCTATTAAATGTATATAATTGCATAATCTAGCATCAATTATCTCATTTACGAGCACAAATTGTTTTATTAATAGTTATCATATTTTTATTTTATTTTATGTTATAAATAAATATTAAGTTATAAAATATAATTTTCAATTTAATTAATCAATTATGAATAAGTTTTTATATAATACAAAATGTGTGTTATTATAAAATGTGTATTAACGACTTAATATATCATGTGATTTTGCAGATAATGAACCACTCACTACCCACCCGCTACCCATCCGCATTTAGTGGGTGACAAAAACAATTACCCACACCTAGGGGTGGGCAACGGGAAACGGGTATTTGGGTATACCCGTACCCGTCCCGTTTTTTAAGGGTTACGGGTACCCATATTACCCGTAATATTATAAACGAATGGGACTTGGGATTGTACATTCCTAATATGGGTACCCGCGGGTTACCCGCAAATACCCGTTTGGGTAATGTGGGTACCCGTTTTACCCATTTGCGAACTCTAATCCATAGAAAGAGAATGTCCACTTCGCCACAGAGATGAAACTTTTCTTAGTAAAGAAACAAAGAACGCTATGTGAACATAATACTTGTAGTCTGCACTCTGCAGTGACATGCAACCTAAACTCATCCCTGTCCAAGAAGTACCATAGATTATTTTCATAGTTCAAAGTAGTCATCAATCGCTAAAGGAACCTCAGCGGTGTATGATTCCTTAACATTGAAATTATCAGTTACATTTTTCCTTCTACCCTGCTGAGTGCTGACAATAGCTGAATGCATGCAGGTTACCCTGTATACCACTCAATGTATGATGACTTTGTCTGGATGGAGAAGTTTGGTGACCCTAATTTTCGTAGGCACATCGTTGTGATTATTCATGATTTGTGTTGAATGAAACTTCTTATTTGATAATTTGGTGCTTAGAATGATTTATTTCTATGCGTTGTGATTGTTCATGATTTGTGTCTTGTGATTGTTAAGCAAGTACAAGTTAAGTTTAAACTTTTGTTAAAATTTGAGTGGTTTAAACTTTGAGTATTTATGGGTAGTATGGGTACCCGTTATCCGTCCCGTACCGGTAATGGGTACCCGTTTCCCATATGGGTTTGGGATATGGGATGGACTTTGGCCTCCAAATGGGACTGGGTACCCGTTTAAAACGAGACGGGTATCCCGTCCCGTCCCGTTGCCCACCCCTACCCACACCCACCCACCAGGCCACCACATCCAGCAAACATGCAATGGGTGAGTTAAAATCGAGTAAATCGGATGAATCTATCGATTGACCCACTTATTGTCCATCCCAACGTTAAAGTACTGTTGACCCACTTATCGTCCATCTCTGCCTTAATTTTTACTTGATGCTAATGAAACTTAGCTATAATTATAAACAAAACAAGAAAGCAAAAATTTTAACTAAACAAAGTACCACTTTACAAACAAAAAATAAAAATCCTAGTTAGACAAGCAAAGGGTTAATGACATAAATATTGCTTTTTTTTTAATTTACCATCAATATGGCGAATTAAAATGTATTTACACAAATATTGTGTATTTGTGTAGGGTTATAGGCGCGACCGCCATAGATTAAGGCGGGGCCGCGTTTTGAAATTATAAAACCAGTCCTAGGCGCCGGCGCTTTAGTCTCCAGCGCCCTCGCCGTCCACCACTCATGTTTTTTAAAAACCTAGCGGCCACCTCTCATTTCTTATCTTCTTCTTCTTCTTCTTCTTCCCTCCACACCCCTCCCCCAACAGCCACCACTCTCGCCCGAAAAACCAGACCGCCACGCCGTCGTCTCCCCAGACAGAAGCCACCCTGCCGCAGACACAGGCGACCCCGCCGCTAACAGAGGCGACCCCGCCGCAGACAGAGGCGCCAGCGTCTGAGTTCGACAGAGCAGATGTCGTCTGACGAAGAGGAAGCATTCTCCGGCAGAGGCAGGGGGAGTGTCGGCGAGGTCGTGGAGATGGCGACCGTTTTTGTGGTGAGAATCTCGTCGCCGATGGTTTTTTTTTAATTAATGTTTTTGTTGCTTTTGCAGTTCCTAGGCTTATGGACAGTTATTCGATGAGACTACCACCTGCGACAATTGATCCCGCTCCGGTCGATCCGGTACTTCTTTGGGGACATGGTCAACATCGTATCGACTCAGTTTGGGCAAACGAGGTAAGTATTTGATAACTATTCATGTAAAGTTAATTAGCTAGATAGATAAGATTATTTTAGTAGGTGAACTTAACTATATTGAAGTTAGAATAGAATTACGTATCAATTTTTTTGAAATTAGTATAATTTTAGATTAGTTAGATAATTTTTTTGAAATTAGTATAATTTTAGATTAGTTATATAAATTAGAATTATTACGAATGAAATTGAATTAATATAAGTTTTGTGCACTATAGGCTGGTGATCGATCTTACCATGTTCGAGGTACGACCAATTTAGTCACGTACCGTGACTGTTATCAGCCATATCTCGGAGCGCGCTGGCTTGTCTGGTCCCTATGAATGCTAATGTGAGTTTGATTACTGCGCTCGTAGAGCATTGGCGACCCGAGACGTTGACCTTCCATTTACCGTTTGGTGAGGTCACGATCACGTTAGAGGACGTTGTGACACTGTTCGATCTAGCGATCGACGGTGATGGCGTCGTAGTTGACATACCGGATGAGGAGTGACCGATGATCTATTTGAGACTATTAGGACGGGTTCCGGATGATCTATCAGGCGGTGTCGTTGGGATTGTTTGGCTGGGGGATGAATTCAGTCATCTGCCAGGAAATGCATCCCATGAAGATACAGAGCAGTTTGCACGAGCTTATGTTCTATCTCTGATGGGAGGTGTACTGTTCCCGGATCGGTCTGGAGCTACAGTGCACCTACAGTACCTACTGCTGATTGAGGATTGGCAGAGAGCTGGACGGTTCACCTGGGGAGCAGCTGTTTTTTCCTACCTGTACCGTGAGATGGGTAGGTCGGCTTTGCACATTACACGTTCCTCCACTTCTCAAGGAGGTGACCTTGGTTGATGGCTCGCCCTACTGCGGCTTTGGGCATGGGAGCGATTCCCACATCTTACACCGCGACATTCAGAGACGAGGGTGCAAATTGCCGAGGATGCATCCCCACGTGGTCTTTGATGGCTTCCGGCCAACACTGATCAGTATGGTGACCAGCTATTCTTGTACAAGTTGTGGTTTGACGAGATGGAAACCATGGTGGTTAGCATATAACATTTCATTTTATAGAATAGTTTTCATTTGTTTGTTTAGATTTAGGGATAATAACATGACCATTTTTTTGGTGTAGTGGCAACCTTACGTTGAGAGAGCACATCATCTCAGAGGTAGTGTGATACAGTCTGAGACGTTTCGAGCAGTAGTGCCACTGATCTGCTTTTCAGCGGTGATGTGGCACCATCCAGACCACGTGCTCTGGCAGTTTGGCATGAGGCAAACTGTGCCTCATCCGCCACATCCTGAGGCTGAGGTTAGGTTTTTCCTTCGCCAGACTACTCGTGGGCCATCGCGTGAGCAGCAGTTGGTACACGCCTCCAGAGAGTCGCTTACTTTCTGAAACCGTTGACATGAGTTCGTAGCGACGACTCCATACAGCGAGAAGGTTTTAGCCTACCACTTAGAGGTAATGGAGTGGTATCGAGATGTCACCAGACGTCCAGGCACACAGAGAGGAGTTGCAGTGGAGACATTGGTTGGTTATTTATTGTTTAATATTTTTTGTATTTGTCTTGAATTTCTTAACTATGTGAAATCTATCACATTTCAATTTAATTTTTAGTACGACACTTTGGAGCATGATGAGCTGAGTTTACGTGGCGGAGTGCGAACTGGAGGGATGTCCAGTAACCAGTGTGAGGATTTGGCCAGCATGATGGCATCAAGGGTTGCTACTTTATTTCCTTGAAATTTCCCACAAGTGCAAAATCCCACCCGATTGTTGTCGTCAAAGTGCACTATGAGTGTCTTCGAACCCGTCATGTTGAAATTGTTGGGAGGAGTCTGAACTACATAGATGCCTTGACGTCGATCAACCCCCGTCACGGAATGTCCGACTGCCTTTTGTGACCATGACTTCATCATCTCTTCGCACTTGATGGTGTACTGTGAACGACCACTTCTGATTTGTGCTTCTGTCTCCAATCTCATCTTATCAAATTTCTCCAACAATCGCCAATAAGTATGTTGCACAAGAGAAGCTATAGGAAGTGAACGAATACCTTTGAAAACACTATTGATGCTCTCTGCCATGTTGGATGTCAAGATAGACCATCGACGCCCACCATTATAGTTATCATGCGCTAAGCTCCAACGAATTTGATGTTGGTCTACTCAGTTATCACAAGAAATATTCCTATCAGCAACGACCTTCTTAAATTGCTCAACTTGATGATCGAACTTCTCCAAGCGTTTTTCTCCGGCTAACAAAGTAAATAACCACACGAGTTAGATAAATTCATGACAAAATTAATACATTAAAATAATAACAAAATTAAATGAAGAAGGCTTACCGACTCGAAATAGTTGCTTATACATAATTTTGCTTTTAGTCTTTCTTTGCAAATTGCTTGCATCGTGTCACATGCACCACCTCCATTCCCAACCTCTTCCGATGTCACTCATGGCTTGATAGAGTCCCGCATGTCTATCTGAGATGATGCAAACATCATTTCGATCGGTCAAACCTTGAAGGTGATTTATGAACCATGGCCAACTTTCAGTATTCTCGATTTCCATGATGGCAAATGCTATTGGAAAAATCTTCTTCCGGCCATCAAATGATCTCGCCATGAGTAGCACTCCTTTATACTTTCCAGTAAGAAATGTTCCATCAACTACCTTGACTCCTGGACAATTCTTGCATCAATTGATACAAGGTCCATAATCTCAGAATACTCGCTGAAAGATCGAATGACCTGGTTGAGCTGAAGGAACTCTCACCCAATCAATCACTGATGTTGACATTTTTCTCTTTACCACCCGCAAGAATGTTTGCAAATAATCGTAGGATTCTTCCCAATTTCCATGCAACTTCTCCAATGCTCTTTGTTTCCCATACCAAGCCTTCTTGTAAGTAACTTGCGTATTAAATTTATCTTTCAACTCGGCCTGCACAGTTAGAACACTAAGATTTGGTTGGGCACGTACAAAATGTTTGACGGACTCAGATATAATATCGACATCAAGACGACGATGATCCGTCGGTTGAGTCGTACTGCTACAAGAATTCACCAACTCGACCTTTCTCACAGTCCAATCGCTTCCAACATCTCGACATCCAAATCGCACCATCCAAGGACAATCGTCATCCTTGTGCTTCAAGCATCTGACCTTCCAGATTGAAGGTGACGACTCCACCACGCTATATTGAAAGTTGCGTTGTAGTGTGTGGTATTTAATAGCCACCTGTGCAGCTTGTTTCGAGTGAAATATCTGCCCCTTGTAGAATTCTCCTTCAAAACTAGCAACAATAGGCATTGGAATTACGCCATATGAATCAGCATATGATATTCGTCGTCCTCTTCATTACCCTGCAAGTAAAAATATGGAGGATAATTAAGCTGCTCTCCTTTGCCATCCTCCTCCTCCGCATCTTCCTCATCTCCGTCAACATCGTCATGATCGGATGACATGCTCCATGTATCTTCTTCCTCTCCATCATGATTGTCACTGAGCTCAGCACCCAAACAATAAGGGTTTTGTGCCATAAAATCGAAAAGCACATTCAAACTATCACCATCCATAATAGGCATCGAATAATGAAATAAAACATCATTCTGCCATTCTGGAAGACGGTAAGTGAAACCCGTGATCACTTCACTATCTTGTACAACTTCGTCTCTACGTTGTATTCTCGGAATTAGATTCTCACAAAGTTTGTGATATGTCACACTGGATGGAACCGTCAACTGAAAACAACTACTACCAACGAATTGGACGCCCAAATTATACTCTACTTTCTCCAATTTCCACCGAACGACTAGTTCAAATCTTCTAAAATCACTACAAAAAAACAAACTCACTAATTAACTAAACAAAATCATAATAGCATTTGAAGAATATAATTAAAAAAATAAATGTGTCTCTTACCTATTAGACATTTCAGCAGCAGCAACCAGAGCTTCTCCCTCCTCTAACTTCGTCGATTTTTTTGTAGTGAGCAACTGAAATGATATTCACTGGTTTTTTAGGGGAGCCAACAATATGCCAGCGGACCCGTCATAGTCCGGGGCGCCATCACTAGGTACAAATTCCCACCTACTCGCCTCATTCTCTGGCGTTAACACCTGAGTCTCAGGCGTTCTCGCCCAATTTATTCTCCAAAACACAATAACTGTATAAATACTTTTTAATCCGTCATATGGACGATAAATTAAAAAAAATATAATATTTATGTCATTAACCCACAAGCAAACACGCCTTTGTTTATATTTCTGTAAACAATAGATAATTATTATAACATGTTTTTTCTTCTTTCTCCATGTCTTCGGTCTTCCAGTGTTCCTGTCTGTTTCCTTGTCGTCTCCCACTTTTCTCTATTTCTCTCTCTTAAAATTAAGGGGAAAAAGGACTCATTTTCACTCATTTACTAGTTATTAACATCAGTTCACACAGACACAACAGTGTTGGGTTTCCCTTTTTTTCCCCCTCTATTTTCCGTCTTTTTTTGGGTAAATTCTTTTACTTTACTCTATTGTCTTCGTCTCTCCATGTCTTACTCCATCCGTGAAGCTCAGGAATTCCTCCAAACCAGATAAAACCTAATCAATCAAACCAATAGCAAAAAACAACCCTAAAGTCACTGCCTTTTCCCCCATTTCTTCCTGCTGCTCCTTCTTCTGCCCCATCCTCATCACCACCACGTTATTCTTCTTCCTCTTCCTCTCCTTAGCTGGTAAAACCCTAGTTCCTTCATGTAACAATAAGCTCAATTCTACAGTTCGAGGCTCTAAACCCATTTCCTGAAATGGCTCGTGGTTTGCTAGCTCCATCTTCCAGATGTCATCCTCCTACTGAATCCAGACTAGCATGCTAGTGCCCATCAAGCTCACTGCACTCCAGTAGGTAAAATCATCTCCTTGCATTCGTCTTTCCTTTTTCTCGGTCTGAACATATTTGCTTCATTTTGCCAATGAGCGTCTCGTGTTTCTCTTTCCCTTTCCCTTTCCCGTGTTGTGCTCTTGAACTTGCCTACTGTGGAACCCCTGTTTGTTTCGATGGCAGTTTATTAGTTTTCTTTGCATATCAACTTAGCTTAAGACATTAGCTCTGAAATTGGGTACATGATTCTGTTGCATGTGGTTATTTTATAGGGCATTTGAAGGGAGCCATGGAGGGGGATCAGCATGGGATTATATTATCATGTGCAATTTCTGGGTCCCTTTTTGCTGTTCTAGGTTTGGCTTCATTTTCGATTCTCTGGGCAGTGAATTGGAGGCCTTGGAGGATTTACAGGTGAACCTTCTCTTCCATTTTGATATGTTTCTTCTTATCTCTGCCCCAAAATGTGTGAGATGCATACCTAATGGTATCAAGTTTGCATTCGTCATTCCTTTTGTTGTTGGGTTTGAGGTTGTCAAGGCCTAGATATTAAATTGATCTGGTTAGTTTTGCCATTCTGTTGGCCTGTTTTAGCACTTCTCTATCCGTGGATATATATATCCTGATCAATGCTGACATTTGGGTTGTGGTTCCTTGGGAACTGAAAAGGGATACTAGGGTACAGAAAATAATGCTGCTTAGACTTGATACGGGGTATTTTAGGAGGATGTTACCTTTGGTGGTAGGAATATGCTAAATTGGAAATGGCTCCATCGTAGATGGATATTTACGATAGCTACGGTTCTAAACCTTAGTGTGGAATATTGGAAGTGATACAGTTGGACGAATGGCTAAGCTATTGTATATAATCCCGTACACACCGTTTGACACCTAGCAAATCTTTTTCCCATTAAATTTTTACTATGTGTAGATCGTTGGGTACATTCTATTGGAATGCAAGTAGAACATCTTCTTTTCTCTTGCTAGCCATATGATTATGTACATCAAACTATTAACCTAGTCATCAGGATAGAATGAGTAACTGTGTCTGCTTTAGGGATTGTAGTCTTGACTTGAATTTCTCCTTTCAGTTGGATCTTTGCCAGGAAGTGGCCATATATTCTCCAAGGACCTCAGCTGGGTGTACTATGTCAGTTTCTGTCTCTATCAGCGTGGATAATAGTAATATCACCCATTCTGGTGCTTATCATGTGGGGATGCTGGTTAATTGTTATATTGGGTCGGGATATCGTTGGTCTGGCTGTAATAATGGCTGGGACTGCTCTTTTACTGGCATTCTATTCAATCATGCTTTGGTGGAGAACGCAATGGCAAAGTTCAAGTATGTTTGTATCAATCTCTTCACTTTTAATTAGTTTCCATTCCTTATACACCCCTTTTCACTCATTTGTCCATTGTGAGTTTTTATATTTGACATTTCCCCTAATTTCTATGCAGAAGGCTAATGATTATCCTAAATAAATCCTTTTTTAGTTTTCATTCTCTTGTAATTCTAGTAGCCGAGAAGGAGTCTGTTTATTTTTATTGGTGCTTTGATGCGATGCACATTAATAATTCACATCCAGAAGAAAAAGGTTTGTTTGTCCTGTTATTTGGCTTTGGTAAACTACTGTACTTTTGCCGGCGCTGATGATGGTAGGCATTCCTGGAGTGAATATTTGGTTCCCTTCTTTTTGCAACCATAATCCAAATATTATTCTGTTGAACTTCATATACTGATAACTCTATGTACTGAACTGTTATCTATATTGTTGCATTTATCTTTTGGTGGTAGTTCCAGAGAACTTAATATACTCTTTATCATGTGATCACCTAGCCGTCATTATATTTGTACTTCATCTTGTTTCTCTTAGCTTCATATGTTTATCTTTTTGGCTTGACGTCTCAGACTTGATTGTTTCTTCTTCAACAGGGGCGGTCGCTATTCTTCTTCTTCTAGCTGTTTTCTTGCTCTGTGCATATGAACTATGCGCTGTCTATGTTACGGCTGGTAAAAATGCATCCAGGCACTACTCTCCTTCTGGCTTCTTTTTTGGCGTAACAGCAATTGCCTTGGCAATCAACATGCTGTTTATTTGCAGAATGGTATTTAATGGTAAGAATAGCATATTTCTCTATATATACTTTAGGAAGTTCATTCAATTATGGTATTTGAGAACTGCTTTAGTTTGGTGTCACTTCCTGCTTTTCCAGAATCCAGAGAATAATCACTACTGTTTTCTGCCTTTCTGTTTGGATATTTCATAGGCCTGGAGTCTGAGAAATGAAATAGATTCAAGTTTCAGTTGTTAAATTAAGTGACTCTGACCTTCTAGATTGTCACTTTGTTCATTCTATCAATGCTTGCAGGGAATGGCTTAGATGTGGATGAATATGTACGGAGAGCATACAAGTTTGCTTATAGTGATTGTATAGAGATGGGTCCTATGCCTAGTGTCCCAGAACCACCTGATCCCAGTGAACTGTATCCACGCCAATCAAGAAAGTAAGTAATTTTCCCTTCATGTGTTAGTTGTCTTGTGTCAAACGAGCGTAATGAGCTAAGAAACTAGCATTCCTTGAGGAAAAGAAATATACGGAACTTACAAATCCATATCTATATTGAAAATTGAGGGTGTAATTTACATGCTTGGGTGAGAATGGTAGAAATGTGTTCTCTTTTCCGGTGCGTTTGTGAGGTAAGCTTCTGCTGTAATAATCACTTTCTTTGAGTGCCCTATCATTTGTTGTGTTCTTTCTTTTCAATATTCTGATACTTGTGGTTTGTGTTATAGGGCTTCTCATCTTGGGCTTCTCTACCTTGGATCACTTCTCGTTCTCTTTGTCTATTCTTTGCTGTATGGTTTGACGGCAAAGGAATCTCGGTGGCTTGGAGCTATTACATCGGCTGCTGTTATAATTCTTGGTATCTTATTGACAGTTTTGCTTGTGAATGCTGAACTTGCTGCCATTTCTATCTTTGCTCATCCCTTCAGATTTTAAGATGCTAACTATAATTTGTTAACTTCGTGGAGATTGGAATATGGGAGCATGCTTGTATGGGTTTCAACTTCTTCAAAGTCGCGTTGCTGCTCTTTTTGTTGCTGGCATGTCTCGAGTTTTCCTCATTTGCTTCGGAGTGCATTACTGGTTTGTTCTCCTCTATCACCATAGAGTTAACTAGCTCTGATTATTAATTTTTTATTTCAATTTATTTGAGTCACATTGGATCCCTTGTATTTTCTTCAGGTATTTGGGGCATTGCATCAGCTATGCTGTTGTAGCTACTGTGCTTTTAGGTGCTGCTGTTTCTCGCCATCTCTCTGTCACAAACCCTTCAGCAGCTAGAAGAGATGCTTTACAGAGTACAGTGATTCGACTGAGGGAGGGCTTTCGCAAAAAGGAGCAGAATACTTCATCTAGCTCCTCTGATGGCTGTGGCTCAAGTGTAAAGCGCAGTAGTAGTGTTGAAGCTGGCCAACTTGGGAATGTTGTTGAATCTGGTAGTCAATGTGCAGCACAGTGCATTTCTGATACTAATAACTGGCCTAATGCTGTATTATGTCGAACTGCCAGTTGTCATGAGGGGATTAATAGTGATAAAAGCATGGAAAGTGGGAGACCAAGTTTAGCATTTCGCAGCAGTTCATGTCGTTCAGCTATCCAAGAACCCGAAGTTGGGACATCTTGTAGCAAGAGTTGTGAACCTAATAACTCTCATGTGGTTTGCTCGAGTAGTCGTCTTGATGGCCAACGCTGCGAGTCTAGTTTGTCAGCAAATCAACAACTCTTAGATCTAAACCTCGCAATTTCATTTCAAGATAGACTGAATGACCCTAGGATTACCGCTTTGCTGAAAAAGAGGGCAATGCAAGGAGATAAAGAACTCAGCTGTTTACTGCAGAATAAAGGACTAGATCCTAATTTTGCAGTAATGTTGAAAGAGAAGAACTTGGATCCTACCATCCTTGCTTTACTACAGAGGAGTAGTTTGGATGCTGACAGAGATCATCAGGGTAATACTGATGCGACTGTTGTCGACTCTAACAGTGTGGACAACAATATTCCTCACCAAATTTCATTATCAGAAGAACTGAGGCTTCAAGGGCTTGAAAAGTGGCTTCAGTTGTCTAGATTTATTCTGCATCATGTGGCTGGTACACCAGAGCGCGCATGGGTTCTTTTCAGTTTGATCTTCATTATTGAAACAGTTGTTGTGGCAATTTTTCGACCTATGCCGATTAAGATTATAAATGCTAGACACCAACAGGTGAGCAGAAACTTACTTTGGTAGATTTTATGTTTCTTATCAATCTCCATAACGAATATTAATGGAACTAACTTGGAAATTCTGGTAAACATATTGTGAATTTGCAGTTTGCATTTGGCATTGCAGTGGTGTTGTTATCGCCCGTGGTTTGCTCAATCTTGGCTTTCCTCCAATCACTTAAGGCCGAGGAAATGGTGATGGCATCCAAACCTCGCAAGGTGTGCTTCTTTTGCCATTCTGTTTTCTGAAATTTGGTAACGATTTTCTTGTGTTACTTGTAGTTGATTTTACTTATTTGTTCAATTTGGTGGTCTGAATTTGTTGGATTGAATGAATTATTTACTCCTACTGTCTTATTTACAGTATGGTTGTATAGCATGGTTGCTCAGTACTGGTGTTGGATTATTGCTATCATTCTTGAGGTACACCTTCTTTCTGTTAGTTAATTATGTTATGAGCATATCACTGTCTATTTGTTGTGTAGTTTATATATTATCCATATGTTCCTTAATCTCACAGTAATTCCAGTTCATTGCACCAAAGTGATGATTAATATCTCTTGTTCTGCAGCAAATCATCAGTACTCCTGGGACTGTCTTTGACAGTCCCGCTCATGGTGGCTTGCCTTTCTGTCACTATTCCTATCTGGATTCGTAATGGTTATCAATTTTGGGTTCCACTAGAGGAGTCAGATGGTCATGCTGAAGGACGCTGTTCTCAAAGGATAAAAGAGGTTTGTTGTTGCCTACATTCTTTCCTACTGTTCTTTTTGTGTGTATTTTGTGAAGTCAGTTTCTTTTTTCCATTCTAATGATACCTGACCTTGTCTCTCCCAGCGTGTGGTTCTCGTATTCTGCATACTATTGTTTACTGGATCTGTCTTAGCTCTGGGATCAATAGTATCTGCAAAACCTTTAGAGGAGCTACAGTACAAGGGGTGGACTAACAACCAGGCAATTTCAGATTCTCCATATGCATCAATGGTCTACATTGGTTGGGCAATGGCATCTTTTATCGCTTTAGTAGTCACTGGGGTGCTGCCCATTGTTTCATGGTTTGCTACCTACCGGTTTTCTCTTTCTTCTGCTGTATCTACAGGCATATTCGCAGGTAACTTGGCTTTGTTCCTTTCAGTAAATGTACTTCTCTTTTTCAGAATAAGTTATTATTGTCCTTGTTGTTTGATGCTGATCTGATTAAGTTGTTGTCTATGTTGTTTCCCTTTTGGCAGCTGTTCTGGTGGCATTTTGTGGTGTATCTTATCTCGAGGTAGTGCAATCCAGGGATGACCAGGTTCCTACAAAAGCCGATTTCCTTGCAGCCCTCCTACCGCTCATGTGCGTTCCAGCATTGCTCTCACTCTGCTCTGGATTGCTTAAGTGGTAAGTTATTAGTGTTACTGTAATTTGACCTGTGGTAGCTTTCGAACTTTTTATTTCATGCTCTCATGCTGTTTGAGTACAACTGCTCTTGAGGGTGTCAGGTGCTTATTTTTTAATTGCTCTTTAAATTATTTGCAGGAAAGATGACGATTGGAGTCTTTCCCGGGGAGTTTATTTATTTGTCTGCATTGGTCTTCTTCTCCTCCTTGGTGCAATATCTGTTGTTATTGCAATAGTTAAGCCATGGAGTGTAAGTCAAATTTGGTCTCAATGCTTCTAATATTTCTGTGTTGCGCAAACTGGCTCTTTCATAACTTACTTTTTCATCCCTTGCAACAGATTGGTGTGGCATTTCTTCTACTTCTGCTCCTGATTGTACTAGCTATTGGCGTTATACATCATTGGGCTTCCAACAATTTTTATTTGACAAGGACACAGATGTTCTTCGTTTGCTTTCTTTCCTTTCTTCTGGGCTTGGCTGCTTTTCTGGTTGGATGGTTTGAAGGTGAGAAACTTATTTATATTCAATTAGCATCCCACGCGACTCTTTTTTTTTTTTTTAAAGTAAAGATCTATATTTTTGTGTATTTACGTATCTACGTGACTCTTCTTTTTCAGGGAAACCTTTTGTTGGAGCTTCTGTAGGTTATTTTTCATTCCTTTTTCTCCTTGCTGGACGGGCATTAACTGTAAGTTCGTGAACTTGTTGATCTGGAGTTGAACTTTGGTGTTTTTCATTTTGTGCAAGTTCTGATCTATGTTAAGTATTCAGGTTCTTCTTTCGCCACCAATTGTCGTCTATTCACCTAGAGTGTTGCCTGTATACGTCTATGATGCTCATGCTGACTGTGGAAAGAATGTCAGGTTTGTTGACTCCGGTTCTTTTTGTCTTATTTCGTTGTAACTTCCTATGCTGTTCTAATTTACCTCCCTGTAATGCGAGACAGTGCTGCATTTCTTATGCTCTATGGCGTTGCTTTGGCTACTGAAGGATGGGGCGTTGTTGCCAGTTTGAAAATTTACCCTCCATTTGCTGGTGCTGCTGTATCTGCAATTACCCTAGTTGTCGCTTTCGGGTTTGCCGTCTCTCGCCCCTGCCTGACCCTTGAGGTTTGTTCAGTGATTCTATCTGGGACTGGGTACAAGAACTCATGTTAGAAGCACTCATTTTCCTCTACATGATGTCAACTTGGTGTTGCGGGTTTAATTGCTTTTCATTTGATCTGGTCACCATTTTTTTGCTTAATGAGTTAGTTTTCATTTCTAGATGATGGAAGATGCAGTTCATTTTCTTAGCAAGGACACTGTTGTCCAGGCCATAGCACGATCTGCAACCAAGGTACATTTCTGGCTTGCACAATATGAGTTGAAGGATTTTGTTTATCTTGCATGTACTATACTTCTGGGTCTTGCCTGTCATGAGAATGTCTTTATTGTTTTGGGTACTCATACTGAAATCTATAGAAAACAAGGCATGTTTCCTTAGAAGTTTGTTTCATTTGGTTTTGAGTTGATCTCTTTTCTGAATATGCATTGGTTACCTTTGCTATGTAGACAAGGAATGCTTTATCTGGAACTTATTCAGCTCCTCAGAGATCTGCTAGCTCAACAGCTCTATTGGTTGGAGACCCTACTGCTACACGTGATAAGGCAGGAAATCTTGTGCTTCCCAGAGATGATGTCATGAAATTGAGAGACCGGTTGAAAAATGAGGAGTTAGTTGTGGGCTCATTTGTCCACAGAATGAAGTACAAGACTTATCGCCATGAACCCACCACTGATGTAGATCACAGAAGGGAAATGTGCGCACATGCGAGAATCTTAGCTTTAGAAGAGGCAATTGATACGGAGTGGGTATATATGTGGAACAGGTTTGGTGGCTATTTGCTTCTTCTGCTTGGTTTGACTGCTAAGGCTGAGCGTGTACAGGATGAGGTACGTTTGAGGCTTTTTCTTGATAGCATAGGGTTCTCAGACCTAAGTGCAAAAAGAATCAAGAAGTGGATGCCAGAGGATCGTCGGCAATTTGAACTTATTCAAGAGAGGTGATAACTTTTGAGTCTCAAGTCTCCAATACATTTTTTCTTATCTTTCTTATCTCAAGTTTCAGCATTATTTGCTGTTTCAGCTATTTGAGAGAGAAGGAGATGGAAGAGGAACTATTAATGCAGAGACGTGAAGAAGAGGGCAGAGGCAAAGAAAGAAGAAAGGCCCTTCTTGAGAAGGAAGAACGAAAATGGAAGGAGATTGAAGCTTCTCTTATGTCTTCAATTCCCAATGCTGGTAACAGGGAGGCAACAGCAATGGCAGCTGCAGTCCGTGCAGTTGGTGGTGATTCTGTTCTCAGCGACTCATTTGCCCGGGAGAGGGTCTCGAGTATTGCTCGACGAATACGCGCTGCTCAATTATCCCGCCGTGCTCTCCAGGTTGATTTTATTTTGTTAATATATAACGGCAGAGGCAAAGAAGTGGAGTCCACATCAATTTAAAATTAGATTATGCAGAAGTTGGCCGTTGGTAAAATTTATTTGATTGGAAAAAATTGGTTATTTGATCAACTGAAAGCACCTACAGGTTGCAAATTAGCATGGTTGTCTTCTGTTCATTTGCCCAATCCGTCATGGTAGATCTTGGCCAGACGAGATATTAAAATGTACTCTTTTTATTGCAGACGGGAATTCCTGATGCTGTATGTGTTCTTGATGATGAACCAACTACAAGCGGTAGACATTGTGGTGAACTAGACCCCAATGTATGTCAAAGTCGAAAGATATCGCTTTCCGTTGCGGTGATGATCCAACCAGAGTCTGGCCCAGTTTGTCTTTTAGGCACTGAGTTTCAGAAGAACAGTTGTTGGGAAATTTTAGTTGCTGGTGCTGAACAAGGTATCGAAGCTGGACAAGTAGGTCTTCGGTTGATAACTAAAGGAGACCGGCAGACAACTGTCGCGAAGGAATGGAGTATCAGTGCAACTAGCATTGCTGATGGAAGGTTAGGTTTTTCCTTTTTTTGTATAAATTTTTTTACACAGGTTGTTCGGTTGGGTATATTTAGGAGAGTGATATTCGGAATTGCATGCAAAAATATACATATTTTCATTGAAACTTTTGATATTTTTAGCATAATTAAAATTGCACACCCAACCTCAAATGCATCAAAATGATGATATAAAAAATACATTTATAGGAAATCTTTGGAATGCACTCTAGAGAAACAGCCGTACACATGTCCTTTACTCTTTTTTGGCAAACAATGTCTGTGCAAATACTCTTGACATATAACATGCAAGATAAAAAGCACTGATAAATTGATAAGGGAGAGACAAACTCGGCAACTACCTCTCCACTTCTCCCCTCTCTTCGCCTTGTGACTGTTACATTTCTGTTCTACTGCTCCTAAGTTTATGTTAGTGGGGAATTGTGTTTCCATAGGAATAGCTATCTGTTGAGAGTCTCATTGTATATATACATATCAATAATGCAAATACAACTCAGTTCTCCTGAGACGTTTACATGGTATCAGAGCCTATTGAACTCTAACGAGTCAATTTTTCTTCTTCTTCTTCTTCTTCTTCTTCTTCTTCTTCTTCTTCTTCTTCTCGTTCTTCCTTCTTCTTTCTTCAAAGCCAAAAATGGGCACCGAATCTTCCTCTGTTTCTTCTTCCTCTGCTTCCGGTGTTTTCACTTCGCCGCCAGTTCCATCCATCTCCTTGCCGGCCAATCCATAGCTCACTGTCAAGCTCACCCCAACGAATTACTTGTTGTGGCATGCCCAGATCACTCCTCTTCTTCGTTGTCATCAATTGATGGGCCATGTTGACGGTTCTCTTGCTGCTCCACCGCAAATCGTCGATGGCCAGTCCAATCCCGCCTACTGGTCGTGGTATGTGCGTGACCAGTATGTGCTGACCTGGATCAATCTCTCGCTCTCCGAGGCTGTTCTGCCCAATGTTATCAACAAAGCCACCGCTTTCGATGCTTGGTCTGCGTTGGCTACCATTTACGCCTCGGGCTCTCCCGTCATCATCGGCCAGCTCCGCAAGTCTCTTCTTCGTCTCTCTCGTGGGAATGAAACAATCCATGAATACATCCACCGAGCGAAGGCCATTTATGATAAAATGCTCGCTCTCGGCGCTGCTGTCACCGAACAGGAACTGGTGGTTGCGCTTCTGGACGGCCTTGATGAAGACTACCGCCCATTCACTCGCAATCTCGAGGCGCGTCTCTCCGAGGTTCCACTTGCGGGGGCGTGATAAGGGAGAGACAAACTCGGCAACTACCTCTCCACTTCTCCCCTCTCTTCGCCTTGTGACTGTTACATTTCTGTTCTACTGCTCCTACGTTTATGTTAGTGGGGAATTGTGTTTCCATAGGAATAGCTATCTGTTGAGTCTCATTGTATATATACATATCAATAATGCAAATACAACTCAGTTCTCCTGAGACGTTTACATAAATAACAATCACTTACAATCACACCAAACCAAACGCAGGCTGTGTTTTCTGTCATCGTTTCACTTGTAGTTTTCCTTTTCTTAAGGAGTACTGCATATCTTCAGCTACTTAGTAGAATGAACCTCTTCCTTTCAGTATTTTGACCTTAGTATGTTTGGTACTTGTATAGGTGGCATCTCGTCACAATGACAATCGATACTGATGCTGGTGAAGCCACGTGCTATCTGGATGGTGGATTTGATGGCATGCAGACAGGGTTGCCATTGTCTGTGACTAATAATAGCATCTGGGAACAAGGGACCGAACTATGGGTCGGTATTCGACCACCAATGGATATGGATGCATTCGGAAGGTCGGATAGTGAAGGCCCAGAGTCCAAGATGCATATAATGGATGTTTTTCTTTGGGGAAAGTGCCTATCCGATGATGAGGTTGCCTCCCTTTACTCTGCCGTTGGGTCGTCAGAGTTTGGGATGGTTGATTTTCCTGAAGACAACTGGCAATGGGCTGATTCACCCCCTAGGGTATGTACCATTTTGAAATTCTAGATAGTGCTAGCTGAAATAATTGACCTGCTTACTGATTGTTGCTCTATTTGCTTACATTCAGGGTGATGAGTGGGACAGTGATCCTGCAGATGTTGATCTATACGACCGAGATGATGTTGATTGGGATGGGCAATACTCCAGCGGAAGGAAAAGAAGGTCAGGGCGGGAAGGAATAGTGGTAGATGTCGACTCTTTCACAAGGAGGTTCCGGAAACCTAGAATCGAAATGCAAGAAGAAATTAACCAGAGAATGCTTTCGGTTGAATTAGCTGTAAAAGAAGCTCTCTTTGCTAAGGGGGAATCACATTTTACTGATCAGGAGTTCCCTCCCAATAATCAGTCATTATATGTGGACCCAGATAATCCCCCCTCGAAACTGCAGGTGGTAATTTGTGTTAGACTAATTATTTTCATCACCGTCTTTCGATTTCCTTAAGTTTTTTTTTGAGTTATTAGCTTTTCCATACTAGGTGGTCTCGAAGTGGATGAGACCTGCTGAAATGGTGAAGGAAAGTCGGTTGGATTCAACCCCGTGCTTATTTTCTGGGCCGGCAAACCCCTCTGATGTCTGTCAGGTGTGGAAAGTTGATTTCTGCAAACTGCAAAAACATTATATATCCACTGGGATTGTTCATTTTTACTACTAATGGTTGACTGTCAATGAAATAGGGCCGTTTGGGTGATTGCTGGTTTTTAAGTGCTGTTGCTGTTTTGACCGAGGTTTCGAGAATATCTGAAGTCATTATTACATCAGAATATAATGAGGAAGGAATCTACACTGTTCGCTTCTGTATCCAGGTAATGTTTTCTCCAGGCAAGTGAGTAGATTTCATTTTTAGTGTTGCCATCTTTTCCTCGAAGACTAATACTCTTGTTGCACATCCGGTTCCAGGGTGAGTGGGTCCCTGTTGTTGTTGACGATTGGATTCCGTGTGAATCACCTGGTAAACCTGCTTTTGCCACAAGTAGGAAGGGCAACGAGTTGTGGGTCTCTCTACTAGAGAAAGCCTATGCTAAGTTGCATGGCTCGTATGAGGCCTTGGAAGGCGGGCTGGTTCAAGATGCTCTTGTGGACCTTACTGGAGGTGCTGGTGAAGAGATTGACATGCGGAGTGCTCAGGCCCAAATTGATCTCGCGAGTGGTCGACTATGGTCTCAATTGCTAAGGTTTAAACAGGAGGGCTTTCTACTTGGGGCTGGGAGTCCGTCAGGTTCTGATGTCCACATTTCTTCCAGTGGTATTGTCCAAGGCCATGCTTACTCTCTACTCCAGGTGAGATTTTTACTATTTACCACGTTGGGTACCAGCTAATCAATGCCGCCGAAACCTAATGGTCGAATCTATATGCTGTTTCAGGTGAGAGAGGTTGATGGCCATAAGCTTGTTCAAATTCGGAATCCTTGGGCTAGCGAAGTTGAGTGGAATGGTCCTTGGTCTGACACCTCACCGGAGTGGACCGATAGGATGAAGCATAAGCTGAAACATGTTCAACAGGTAACTAACTTACTGCAAATTGCTTAATGGTGTATCCTAGGTAAGTTTCTAGGGACAATGTGAAATTGCTATATAATTATCATACATTTGAGATTACAAATTTACAATCACTCTATAAGCGACAAATATATAATATTCTGCACCTGGGGAGAAAATTCAAGATCCCTGTAAGTTGCAACATGCACACTTATGTTCCATGCTTATCTATTAGGGAGGATCCTGAGATATATTCGATCATCAAATGAAGGGTATATACATACCCTGATTCTCTCTAGTGATTCTGCTAGTAAAAGTGTAAGATTATATGACAAATTGATTTTGCCTAGATCAAACTATTCCGTAAAGAGTAAGCTTTTAGGAATTGATACGGGATTTTGACTAGACTGTATAATATGCACAATTTCTTAAGATTTGTGTTTGTTATGATTGGCCCCATATCATGATTCCTCTTTCTTTGATCATTTTGTTAAACGTAGCTGCTCTTTTTTGTAACGCAGTCCAAAGATGGTATATTCTGGATGTCATGGCAAGACTTCCAGATTCACTTCCGATCGATATACGTTTGTCGTGTCTATCCTCCAGAGATGCGGTATTCCGTGCATGGCCAATGGCATGGCTACAGCGCTGGTGGCTGCCAGGATTATGCTTCTTGGAATCAAAATCCACAGTTCAGACTTAGAGCCACTGGACCAGATTCATCCCTTCCAATTCATGTGTTCATTACCTTAACTCAGGTATGTGATTGAATTATCTGTTTGATGCCACCTTCTCCATAATGGTCTCGGGCTCAAGAAATGGCTCTCTTCCTTTTTAGGGCGTGGGATTCTCCAGACGGGCCGCTGGTTTCAGCAACTACCAATCGAGCCATGACTCTATGATGTTCTACATCGGGATGAGGATACTGAAAACTCGTGGTCGACGTGCTTCTTACAACATCTACTTGCATGAATCAGTTGGTGGCACGGACTACGTTAATTCGCGTGAGATATCATGTGAGATGGTTCTGGATCCTGATCCGAAAGGCTACACAATTGTCCCCACAACCATACACCCTGGGGAAGAAGCACCATTTGTTCTCTCTGTTTTCACCAAGGCGTCAGTTGCCTTGGAGGCTTTATAATGTTCCGGAGATGGATGGCTCTAGTTTTTTGGTTGAAAGTCCCAAGTGATTGAGATGCTTGATGTTGCTGCTCGATGGTAGGCTACCCACTCCAGGTTCCTTGGACCACAGGTCGCACTGCACACAACTGGGTATACGCAAAGCTTTCAACTTGCTAGACCGTTTCTTATTGATACACATGAATTTAGGCGATTGGTATTCTGCGTAGGAAATTTCAACTGCTATATCAATATTGGCAGGTCCATCTAGGCTCGGATTTCAATCGTCCAAACATCTGGAGAATCGTGCAGTTCATGGAATGGGGTGAAGATTGAAACTAATTGTGTTCTCCCATCCATGTAAGGTGGGTTGGTGCAGGTTTCATCCTGATGATGATTACAGGATTGGAAGAAGAAGATGATGATGGTTTTTGTCGGTGCTTTCGGATTTTCAACTGTACATTTTGTAGGTAATGTTGTAGCTTGTATTCTAAGAAGTATATAGGGTCCTAATCATGAGTCATGTAAATGAGGAAGAGAGAATAGTGAGATAGGAGTTGATTGAATTGGACTAATCTTATGAGGTGAGGGGGAAGGGAAGCCATTGCAGCTGGGAGCAGGGTGTAGTAGGTTCAGCTGCAGTTTTGATGTGCTCCGTCTTTCCCCTTCTGTTTTTCTTTCCTCTTATTTGGCAGTGTAATTGTGGACTGTCACAGTCGAAAGTATCAAGTGGACTTTGCTAATCACTATTTTTTTCTGTCGTTGGCAATATAGAAGAATCTCTCGCAAATTGCATTGCGCTTTCAAATTGTTCTGTAATTTATTATCAACATGAAGATTGACGTGGTTCCCACTAAGCTTTCTGTGTTTATTTCAATGCTTTTCTGTTGAACCTTCCTTGCAGTACTGTACGCAAATCTTTTGTCCAACAGCTCATTTGTGATGAAATAGGTTGCGTTGCTCGTTTTCTTGGTCCCAGTGGTCCAGATTTCAAAATTTGAAAGGAGAAGGGTGAGGAAAGGCTTCATTTATTTTTGGATAAAGATCATGCTATCTCTAACAAAGAGATGAATGGATCAAAATAGATCATGACATGAATCGTCTGTTGTCCGATTCTGTCCTGATATGATATCGCCCTTACAAATTTCAATAACCATAAGAACCCAAACTCCTTTTTTGAGATTGAGATTACAATAGCAGGTGAATTCCCTCGATTTTTCTTGAAGTAAAAGCTCCTTTCTTTATCCCTTTTCATCTCAACAGAACAAAAGCTGTTTTGCGAGACTTACTCCTTCAATCTGGAGCAAAAGCAAAAGCCTTTCACAGCCAGAAATTGGGGAGCACTGTACAACACCCGTGGGAGCATTCAAATCTCCAAAAGAAAGAATCAGATAACTGATTGGGAAGCAAAAATAAAATAAGCTTTAATTTATACTCCAACCCAAATAGTGAAACACTGTTACAGGTATGATAATATGGAGCTGAAGAGAGGATGCCATTAATCTATCGCTCTGCTCAAGAGTCACGACTACCGCCATATTTCTTCAACAAGCAAAGCGCGAAATGATTAAATCACTCATAAGAATCTCTGATCTGGTCCTTGATTGCTGGTTAGTCTCACACTTCAAGCAATCACGATGCTTTACTTTTCTCCTTGCCACGTATGGATCTATGATTCTGAATCACTTTCCATACCGCCCATTGCCTTCAATCCCCTGGGTCTCTGATAAAAAACCAAACCAAATCCACAGTGAGTATATATATGTCCAAAACAGTGTTAGGTCTTTAGAACAGTTGCAACACACAAGTAATGACCGAATAGCTGTGGAGATTACCCAAAGAGCACAAATTATCACGAGGAAAATCAGCAAATTACCCTTTTGGCAGTCTTCTTCTCCCGAACTTCATATCTCTCTTGAGTCAAATCCGACAGCCATGTACCAGGGCTCACCAACTGTGCAAGAAGCAAACAACACAAGCTAAAGTGAGTTTCGGTTTTAACAAGGATAAAAATGAACCAGCCACCCCTTCGAACACTTACGAGTATTGTTCTTTGGATCAACTTGGCCCTTTTCTTGGGCCTTTGAGATGGTTTGCACCCTTTCATCGCCAAGAAATCCTCTTCCTTTTCTTTATTGGACAATGAGATAAACAATTTAGGCCAGACATGATGACCTTTTTCTTCCTCAATACCATCTATTAACAGCTTACTGCTTTCGTCTAACCCCAACGATCCCCTCGTAGTGTAGTACCGGTCTTCTTTCTCTGGTGACAGTACCTTCCTCTTGCTTGGTAACATATCACTCCTAAAATCATCACAGTTGCAATCCAACTTAAACGCCCTAGGATAAATATGCTTGATTTTCAGGATAACAAACAAAAATAGCAAAAGACTTTGTTCATCAGCCAGATGGATCTGAAGTCGTGCTAAAGTACACAGCTAGCAAGAGGTCTGGATAACTCAGAATCTCATTAGCCAGAAAGTAGCACTCAACATAAATGTAATCTTACTAACAGTAGCTTATTGCCTATTGGAAGCCACAAACAAGCACATGAAATGCAGTACTTCTGAAACACAGCAAAAAGAGACGAGCAAAAAAACTTCGCTTATTGTGGTAAGTTTTCGGCCAATCTTACTTCATGAAACGAGAAGGGGAATCTTTCTTCAAAGTGACGACAGCAGATGTGAGTCTCTTCTTAGGGAAAGAATCAGCTGGTCTAGAATTCTTGGCCAAGTTTTGATTTTTCTTCAGTTTCACGCATCTGAGCCTCTTTTTGGTCCCCCATTGTAGCAGAAAATCAGTCTCTGAACTCTTTTTTTCCTTATCCATTGTCCCACTCTTTCAGGGGAAACCTAAAAGATTTCAGCAAGAACAACTTCAGGAAACCAATCACCGAAGAGACAAAAACCTCCGCAAGGCCAAATTCTATAAGAAGGCAGAGAGGCGCACCTTTAAGATCTGAAGCCAATGCAACAGAATCTGTGGAAACAGAAATTCAATCAGCCTGCATAAGAGGAAAACGAAAGACAAAACTAATTGAACTAGGAAGGAAGCAGAAACCCAGCAAATGGGAGTTTGGTTGCTGAGGTTAACAACTATAGAAAATCGCGAAATACAGGAACTTCAACATCAGTTTCAGAAAAATTACATTCCAGAACGCAACATGTAGCTAGAATTCAAGAGGGGATAAGAGAATTTGGCTCACATTTAAGCAGGGGAGCAGCTGCTGTTTGCTGTTGCGATTTTGGCAACCCAAGGGCCAAAATTTTACCGCCGGAAATGGGACGGTGAAGAAATGAATGATCAGTGGAGAGACGGGGTTGTGGGTAGATTTCAAATTCTAGGTTTTCAAATTTCTGATTGACTGGGAGAGAGTAAAATGGGAGCTTTTCAACGGAAAAAATGGAGAAAGCCCAGCTCTCTCCTTTACACAGCAGCCACAGCTCTCTCCCCTGTGTTTGTCTCTTATTTAGAAAAATCCAAAACTACCCCTGTATATATATTTTTTTTTTTACAAAACTACCAACCAAACCCAAAAACTCCAAATCTACCACCCTTAATTAAAAACTGCACCACGGATGGACGGTTATAGAGAAAATCGCCCTGCAAAGGGGCGGTTTCTCATGGAAGAAGCAGTTCCCATGACTGCCCTTGTACAAATCGCATGCTCGGGGTGCGGTTCTGCGTCGGCACTCGGCAACAGAAACCGCCCCTCAAGCAAGCGTTTTATCAGGTCGATGCACAAACCGCACCCCCTCCCCTACAGCGGTTTGTGCCTCATCCCTATCCCCCCGACATCCGACATGTCGGCATGCAGGAAGTTGTAGGGGTGGGGGCTGCATGCCACACTAAAACCGCTCCCCATGCGGTTTTCAGTGTAAAATTTGCCTATAAAAGGCAGTCCCGGAAAACTCAAATCTTCACTCCTCTCCTTCTTCTTCTTCTTCTTCTTCAAATTTCAGTTGTGCGCCTTTCATTTTTTTAGTTTTTGCGATTAACGTTAATCGTAAGTTTGTTTTGTATTACTTTTCATTGTGATTTGCGATTTTTATGGTAATAACTTAATTACGGTTTATTGCAGATGGCATTCCAAAAGTTCACGCTTGGGTTACGGTGGAATGGTTACACGGAAGAGACCGAAAAGGTGTACGTTACGTCGGTGGCAATTTTTATAAAATGAAGGTCGCTACGAGACCGATGCTTGAAGAGCTCCATCAAATGTGTAGTGAGGTTACCTGCATGGATGGCACGAGAAGAGTTGATCGTATGGTGTATCAATATCCAAACAGACACGGCGGGTCGTTGTGGAATGAGGAATTCCTCATTACCACTCAGCAGGACGTTGATGCCATGGTCCAATTTTTGACCACAATAACATTAAACAAGACCCTAATTCATACCAGGAGTATCATGATGGAACCGGAGGTCATCATCAATCCTTCCCATTATATGAAGAAGAAGCTCAACAGTACCATGGGAACCAACAAGAAGGCTACCAGTACCAACCCTAGTACAACTTCTACCAAGGCGGCGGTAGTTACCACAACTACCATTACAGAGCTGATGAAGGTGTCTTTCATGATCTTGATCAGATGGAAGATTTCCATCCAAATCCAGTTAGTGACCCTGAGGATGAAGAAGAGGAAGGCGATGTCAGTGTAGATAACTTCGATCCTCTTGAAGGTGTTCATGATTTTGGCCCAGATTCAGACGTAAATAGTGATGAGGTGCCTCACGATCGTGTACCTATCCCATACTACAATCAAATTCCAAAGTAAGATTGGTATGTTGATGCCGACATAGAGCCGCCAGAGGTGCCATTATGGGGTCCACTCACTGGCTTTACGAAGGGCCAACAATTTGCAATGAAGAATGAGGTGCAACACGCTATTGTCACTCAAGCAATGACTCAGAGTTTTGAATGGCACACAACCCATTCTGACACGAAGAGGCTCATGGTTAGATGCCAAAATCAACACGAGGGATGCAAGGCTAGGGTCCGGGCCATCAAGAGCAAGAGGGTCGGCCATTGGGTCATATCCCGTGCGGTGAACACTCACACATGTGTGCCATACATAACATCCAAAGGCCATCGACAGTTGAAATCCATGGTGGTTGTCGTGACTATCAAACATCTAATTGAGGAGCAGCTCGACCTGAAGGTTAAAACCATCATCGCCGACATTTCTAGTCGTTATGGATATATTATTAACTACAAGAAGGTGTGGCATGGAAATCAGGAAGCAATGACCGCCGTGTTTGGTGACTGAGAAGAATCATATGCATTCCTTCCCAGATTGATTTTGGCATTGGAGGGGTCTAACCCTGGTACCGTTTTCCCCCCTCGCTACCAAGATGAAGAAATTCAGCCGTCGGAGCCCGGTAACAAACGCCATTTCAAGCGTATTTTCTGGTCATTCAAGCCATCTATTGATGGTTTTCCATTATGTGTTCCTGTGATTCAGGTGGATGGAACATTCCTTACCGGCAAGTACAAGGATACTCTACTGATCGCCAGCAGAGCAGATGCAAATAGATGCGTCTTTCCATTAGCCTTTGCCATTGTTGAGGGAGAGAATACCGACAGCTATGGATGGTTCTTCAGAAAAATTCAACTCCACGTCACCAGGCGGACGAACCTAACAATCATCTCTGATCGCCATGCCGGGATCGGGGATGCCATCTTAGGGTTGGATCCAGCCTGGAAGTGGTCATAGAGATGGTGCATACGACACTTCAAAAGCAATTGGAACCATCATTTCAAGCGGAAGAAGCTTTCTGATAGTTTATGGTGGACCGGTAAGCGTTCTATTTCATTGGTGTAATAATTTTGTTAACTGAAAAAAAGAAACTATGTCAATACAATACAACACTTATTTAGACTCTTTATAAAGAGATGCATGCATACAGAAATGAGGTCTTAAGCGATCATCATGATCCTTCCATTTCCTGGGAAAATCGGGTTCTAAGCGATCCTCAAATCCTCCCTTTTTCTGTCAAAAAGGCTGTGTTTCTAAGGGGATGTATACCTCTCCTAAGAGTCTTATGGCTGTACTTGTATTGCTCAAGTTCTTTTGAAAACAACCAACACAGATATACCCTTACCTTACGCTTTTGTTTATATATTCATTAGTTGTTGCCTACCAAGAGAAGAAATTCAAAGAGAAGATGCAGAATATCCATAAGCTATGCCCTGAAGGTGCGAAGTGGCTTGATCAACATGACCTAATCATGTGAACATTTCATAAGGACGAAGGTACCAGGTGGGGTATTGCCACAATGAACTCAAGCGAGAGTATCAACAACGTCTACAGGGCTGTTCGTGCACTGCCCATCTCTGCAATTGTTGAGATGACATTCTAGAAAATGAACCAATGGTTCATCAATCGAATCCACTATGCTGAGAAGAGGGAGGCACAGAGGAAGGTACACTCCGATAAGGCCACATAAATAATGGAAAAAGATAATCGGAAGAGCTCTCGGCACACTGTCACTTATGAACAAAAATGATGGCGAGTATTCGGTCGAGACCGTGCACTGGGAGGATGGGAGACGTGGGGGGTCATCTCCATGAAGTCACTGTCAACTTTAGGGCCGAAAAAGGGGAGTGCTCTTGTCAGAAGTATCAGGGTGGAGGTTACTTTGTTCCCATGCAATGGCTGTAATCAAGCACAGGAGCAAGGACCCTTGTCATTTCGTCAGTCCGTTCTTCAACACCGACTCACAAAAAACAGTTATGGAAGGAGTTTTTGTGCTTTGCCGGATGAAGCTTACTGGCCAGTCTATGAGGGAAAGGTCATCATCCCACCAATCGGACTTAGGTGTGAAGCAAGACGACCACGGGTAAAAAGAATTCCAAATGAGATGGATCAAAGTGGAAGACCACCTCGAGGGCCAAGGCGGTGTTCCATCTGCAATGTACCAGGGCATGATAAACGAAAATGTCCTGGACTAATTGGTCCTCAAAACCCAGGTCCCGATGTGGCGAACCAGGATAACGACGCATATATTGTTTCATGAATTTTCACATGGTTCACAATTTGTTTTAATTTCTATGGTTATGTACTTGGTTTTTGTGTGATTAAATGCATTGTAGTTTTTTATAGTTTGATCACAATTTGACTCAATGTTCCAACTTGTTTAATGAACGCATCACTCAAACAAACACACTGCTACATGAAACACATCACTCAAATAAAACATAACTTGAAACAAACACAACTTGTTTAACTTAAATAAAACTCGAGGATCGTGTTGAGTATTGGGGTCATAGAAAGCACTCGGTCGCGGATCGTAATGAAAACTCGACCAGGGATCGTAGTTGAAACTCGGCCGAGGGTCGTATTGAGTACTCGACCCTGCACCTTGCCACACCTCCAACGGATTAGGCACTTGCCACGCCTCAATCGGCTTGATATCGAGCACGTGAGGTCGATCCCTTGTAGCCTTGTTTGGCCTTCTATGGACTGGTGGGGGCGGGATGGGGACATCATGCGTCACCCGAGGAGTAGGCACAGGGGGAATTGGCGGGTATCTATGATTGTCACGGGCGCGCGCTCTCATACACCCAAGGAAACTGTTCGCCATCCTACGGATGAGCCCCACCTCTCGCCCCGCCAAAGAATCTGCAGTACGAGCGATATTGTGAATACGCTCGATTCCATCAACCTAAACCGTAGAAAGTAACAAAGTTAGCCATCTAAATAGTAATGATATGCATGACTATAAGATTGATGCTCAAACTAAATAAAATAATAAATGAATTAATATGAAGGAATTACTTACCAAAGCTCTGTCCGTCGCACCTTCGGGCGTCATGTAACGTACCGATTGTCTTCGATATGTTTCCATGTATGGTTCATGGTACCCCATCAGCCCCACAGCTGGTGTCGTCACAATGTCCTGATCTTGCCTATTATTCCACAACTTGATAAATTCTTCAAACTCCTTGGGCCAATTAGTAGGTCCTTGCCGACCACCTTTCCCGTGGTACCCCCTATGACTCGCCGGGACTTCTAATGGTATGCATTGCTCAAGTATGAATTTTTGTAAGCATCGGTCCGGCAAGTGCCACTCCACTATATGGAGACAAATATTAGTGGGACTCGGGTGCACCATTGAACGGGATGCAACTGGAACTTGTGGATGTGATGCTCGACGATGCTGTCGGGATACAGATCGAACTTAAGCTACAAAGGTGCAGAACAAATGGACCATCAATAAACATACTAAAGCAAGTTCAAATTAGAAAAGGGATCAATTGTGTATTATGATGGTTACCTCTGCTTCCCAAAGGTGATCCAGTCTCCTACGATACTCCTCTATCTTATGCTCGACTAGGTTGTCGCATGCTGTCTCACCGAGGATGTAGACACGTGCATAAATTTCCTTATCACGCTTCGAACTTTCCTCCGTGAGGGGAAGTCCTCCGACCTCGGGATCGTGCTTAGTGCTTACGCTCGATCTCCGA